TTCCAGGAGAAGATGGAGTTCGAACAAGGCGACGACGGCTTCTCTTTCGGGTCAGTGCCATGAGACCATACTACGTATACCAGCTACTGACTGGCGGGGGACAGATACAAGGCGTCCGGCGCAACGGTGACGGACGAGAATGGGTCACCGGACTCTGTCGAGTTCATCAACATCGCTAAAAACGACGCTTTCGCCTGGCCTGCCGTCGCCCGACGGACATATCCCTCCACCGTGAACGCCCGCATGGACTCCGCCGTCGTGCCGTTTGTCAAGAAATCGGTCAGGGTGCTCGATACGCTCCTGGAGGTATTCGACGAACTGCTGGGACTGCCCGAGGGCACGCTAGCGTCGAAGCACAAGTTGGATGAGTTGAGCGGAAGCGAGGCTCGGGTGATCAAGAGCCCGCCGCGGCCTGGAGGAACGGACGAGGCGAAGGCGGCGCTGATGGCCCACACTGACTTTGGCTCTCTCGTGAGTGTGGTGCCCAAGTGGCGACGGATGACAGCTAACATTGAGTGACCGCCGACAGTCATTCCTGCACAACAGACTTGGTGGTCTGCAGGTGATGGTGCCGGGGACAGACAAGTGGCAGTACGTGAAACCGATAGCGGGGCATGCGATCTGCAACATCGGAGACGCGTTGACGATCTTCAGTGGGGGTCTGCTCAAGTCGAACCTCCATCGTGTCGTGTGAGTCTCTTCGATGGCCCCACTTCGCCACCCTATAACCCGCTGACGATGTCGCAACAGGCCGCCTCCAGGGGAACAGGCCCACCACACGCGGTGGTCCGTGGTCTACTTCACGCGTCCAGGCAACTCCGTGCAGCTCCGTGCTCTCGGAGAACAGAGCGCCGTGATTGGGCGTGCGGTTGAGAATGCCCCAGGGCACCTGCGGGCGATCTTCGAGACTGGACAGACGTCGTTGGAGTGGTTCACACGTCGGATGAAGAATACGCGGACGAACAACCAGAAGGTTCGTTGGCCGATGACTTATTACCGAGGCTGACCTGACCAGGTAATTTGCGAACAGGGGGCAGATGTGTGGCGGATTGGCCGAGGGACGGAGCACCAGCCCCTTGTGGTGTAGAATTATGCATGGTGGTCCATCCTTGTAGACGTACATTTCAGCGCTCTATATCAACCTTGACCCGTGATGCCGTCTCATTGTATGTGCCGAGCAAAACTTGAACGTGCTCAATCGTGCCAACCTGGTGGATTATCGCCAATCCCAAATTGGAATGAGGGACGTTTACGCAAGGAAATTGGACAGACTGCGTGCCTGCATTGAGAATCTTAGAACGTCGACTAGAGCTTCTGACTACGGCGTCCTACAGGGTACGTCGCGAAGGTCGTGGACGGTGCCCAGTTTGGTACACGTCATGCGTTGCTCGAGTACCATGCTGGCGTGATTGAATGTGGAGTTGGGATCGTGGTCATGTATGGACGGCACCTAGAGGTTGTGCGTTGATGATCACTCGGCTCGCCACTTTCGCATGGGTGACGCTACAAAGCTACAAGTGAACCTGACTATGATACAAGTGCGAAGATAGCCTGCAGTGCCTAACAAATGTCAAATGAGTGATCCGTTGTGCGTCATAAACTGTGATTGCTATTGTCATAAACACCCCCGTGACGCTCATCTTCGTCTACGGTCAAAGACAACAGCGAAGACCCCATCGATCCAACTATACGGCTGGTCAGAACTATATCGTCGGATTTAGCATGTGACCATGTATATGTCGTCGAGAGCGAGATGTCTAGAGGGCGGCGGTCGACTTCTTGCAGGTTCAGAATGAATCTCGATATCAGAATCGCCGTCATACTGGAGATATCAATAGTCAGAAGGAGGTGCAGTCTGGAACGTAGCAAAACACGCACGGCTCTGTGATCTCTACGACGTAGCTGACTTGTGTGACGACGTCCACTTGACTCTGTTGCCTAGCCGTGAGTTCTCCTGCACGCCAAAGTCGTGAGCAACTCACACGTTGCATCGTGAGTACGAGGTAGATGATGTTCATTACGAGCACCACACTAGGAGAAAACATGAGTCGACGTGATGAGAATGGAGAAGGTGGCACATACACGAAGTACAAGGTCCCTGTCGGAAACCGACATGTTGAACAAGGGTGCACAAGCGAGTGACATAGACTCACCTTCTCGCAGAAGAATACTTGACAAGGTTCTTCGGCTGCTAATGGGTGCGAATGCATTGCGGACCGTTGCCCTAGTACGGTACGTCGCATGCCATGTTGTAAATATGACGATGACATCGGCAGCTATGAGGCAAGCACGCGGCACAGTTGAGACTTGAGCCGTGTTAGTGAGTGGACTGTCGCGACGGAGTACTGAAAGGAGCGTACGTACAACTTCACAATGGGTCAGCCAAGCCAGGACGAGCTCAATATAGGGGAACTTGAAGCTCACACTTTGTTAATCTCCGAAGGCATGACGACTCCAAATACGGCACAACTAGTGCCTATTGCACTATTGTGGACAGGAGCGAGCCAGTGTAGTCGTGCCTAACCAAGAGGTTCAGTCACGCTATCACTGAAGGGGTGGAGTGTGAACGGACGAAGTTCATTCCGAATATCAAGGAAGATAGCACGAAGACAACAATCGATGTGGGCCATCTATAGGCTTCTTCACTCAAGGCAAACACACGCAATGCCGAGAATGCTGCCAAAAGTGGAAGTGAGGTTTGTTAGAGCGCATGCATACACTCTTGACAACCTACCAGCCCAGGGTAAGTACTGTAGATACGTCACTGCTTGAGCTAAGATGGAGAGTGCCGAGTAGCTGAAGAGCTGTCAGCTCGGCCTTCGAGATCACAAAAAGCAACTTGTACCTCTGCGGATGGAGGTTAGTTGAAAGCAGGGATAAGGACATATATGTACGCACCCCGCACGATAAGTGAGCCATCAAAATTGATCGGACGCCATAGGCCGCCAGCGAGAGGTACCTAGTGAGTATGAAAAGGACGGAGGCTCCAGTGGTCTTCCGCCTCCAGATCAATTCCACCTCACGATCCAGCGTGATAGCGACGTCGAAGAGAAGCAATGCTGAGAATGATCGTGTATCAGTTACCTCGCGTTGGGAAACGATATGGCTGGTTCAAGCGATGGATAGGACGACTCACTCAACGCAGAGAGAGTGCAATGGTGGCCGATGATGCTGCGCAGTGAATATCATTAGTTCTTACGCTAGAGAAATGCAGATAATGCTAATCGTACATGCTCTGCTGTGTGGCCAGAAACTGAGCAACATTGAGACCAGCATCGACACTCATAAGTGGGAAATTGGAACGACACCTGTCAAAGGATGAACAGGCTGCTGAAGGTGCCGTAAGGGCCTCGCGCGCTGGCAGCGCTTGCGCGGCTAAACTAGGCTAAGCCAAACACGAACCGGACCGTGACTAGGAAGAATTCCATGTGTACGCACCGCATCACTGGGGCGCGGTATGGTCTGCAGTTGGAACACGGCAGCCATACATTGAGACTTCACGGCAGGCATCCCCATGTTTTTGACCAAAGAGATTTTGACGACAAGGGCAGGCACGAGGTATCCTGTTCGTGACGATGCAGTGGCTGTTCCGCACAAAAGTCTCTGAAAATCGGGCGGTTGCCTCCCGCCTCCCGCTTTCATTGACTTTTCTCTGGTCGAAAATACTGAAATTGCTGCCGTGCTTGGCACGCCGTATGGGAAGATCAGATACTCCTGTGGGCTCATCAATTGTATTCTCATGCAACCATCATCGCCAGCGTCTGTTGCGCAGCTTGGTGGCGGCTTCCGCAGCGTCTGTGGCGTTGATCGAAGTCGAGCTGGGACAAGGCCGACCTCAAAATAGGCTAGTGTTAAAAGGGCGCCAGTATTACCGCTGGCCTTACTGCAGCCTGCCCCCTTGTGGAGACGATGATTCATCCGACATCGGTATTGTTATCGCCCGCATGACCGCACTCGGGCGTTACGATATAATGGCTGTTCGATACGATACGACTGTCAGACTTGCGTCCTCACGACCAACGTGATCAGTGGCACTCGTCGAAAACATGGCACACGTGCATCCCAGACGTCATGACCCCAGAATCAACTCTTCAGCCGCTTGGGAACGTGGTTTGATTATACATTGGAACCCGGAGGGATGTCTGGCCGAGGTAACATATGAGTGGTAGTATACCTCTAGCGTCGAATAACATGGGCACTCACGATAGGAATCCTGAAGACATGTCAATTTTCACCTGATGGGGCTGACCAGCTTCGTCCAGTGGTACCGATATTTTGAATACGTGTAGACTAGACGCGACATTGATGAATAGAGATGCGTCTGCTAGATTCTTGCCCAGGCATATCCTGTTACATCATCTCGGTCAGTATATACAGCAGTGCTCGTATATTGGGTTAGCTTACCTGCGTCCAAAACCAAAGACTACGCTTGCAGGATCCGGTACATCTGGGTTGAGAACACTGTCTTTGAGGTAGCGTTCGGGCTTGAAAACCTCTGGCTGCGGATAGACCTTCGGATCGTGCATCATTGCCCTCAAATAACGTTCAGCCAATGGTACCAAAGACATCCGAGTGTACCGGGAGACTCACCAGACGTTCGGGACGACGAGTGTACCCTTGGGAAGAAAGTAACCTCTGTACTCGTCATCCTCCGTTGACCGATGGACCACGCCAAGTGGAGCGACGTTGAACCACCGAAGTGCCTCTTTGGCGACGGCGTTGACATAGGGAAGCGCTTCGCGGTCGCTATGCTCAGGCAGACGATCGGGGCCAACGACGGCATCCAACTCTGCTTGCGCTTTCACTTGGACTTCGGGGAACATAGCCATGGCCATGAAGAACGCAAGCGTGGTTGCAAACGTCTGGCCAACTCGATACGTCAAGTGAGAAACCAGCCATTGTCAAGACGGACTCACTGTGTCTGCGCCAGCTGAAGCGTTATGGTATAAGCTTCCCGGGTAAACCACTAAGGAGAGGATGTACTCGCCTGCATACACGTTTGCAGCACCAATTTTGGCTACACGCTCTTCGTCGACAGCCTCCGCAAAACTGAGCTGTCTTTGCGATATAGCCTCCAACATCTCGTGTGAGGCGGACAAGTGCCCTTCTCCCTTATTCTATGTTTGTACTACTCAGCACAGCGTCGTGATGTTGAGCATGGCTACCTGCTTACCCACGAGCGCTTGGCCTCGGCGAACGGCTTCTCGAGCACCTCTGAAGCAAGAGACCTCCAATGCGCGAACTTCTTCTGAAATCCAGCTCCCGGCACCCAGGAAGGAACGTACCGGAGGATGGGAATGTGCTCGACTAAGAAGCTCCCCTGCGGAAGGGCTTGCGTAGGGCCCTCGAGGGCTTCCCGAAGCAGCGGAACGAAGTTCCGGTCTCCTGGAGCAATGTCGATGCCGTACATGATTTTCAGCACAACCGCGGCAAACGAGCTGGCCTGATGTAAGGAGCGAGAGCGGCGGAGCGGGAACGTCAATACTTACAATTCCAGTAGGTCTTGAAGGCGATCTGGCTCTGCATGCAACAGGCGTAGGAAGCGCCTGCTCTTCTGCAATAGAACAGGATGGTGCTTGATCATCACCTTGGGTGTAAAATGCTGCCACGATGCCCGCCGCGTTCGCCTCCATTCCTCGCCGTACGGAATAAGCGGCGTGTTCCAGCTCCATCCAATTCTATGTCCGTATGAGCATGACGCTGAGGAAACATACACCAACGGAACGTACAGGTCGACCACTAGGGACTTCGGTCTATCTGAGTACATAGCGGCCCGCTTGTCGAGCAGCTCCTTTGCCGCATCGATTGAATTGAGGATGAGAAGACTTCGGTTGCCCGGAAGTTGCAAACCAATGACGTCCCCTAGGTACCTTCGTTCAACAACATAGACATAGAGCTTCTCGCAAGGCATTCACCATATTTCAAAGACCAATCACGATATACAATCCAGGGCAACATTTTAGGAATATGGAACAGGTTGCCAAAGAATGGTACCGGGGTCGGTCCAGGGGGCGGAGGTCCACGCTTGGATTTCGAGAGACGCGAACGAACGAGGATGAAGATACCAGCGGCGATGCCTAGGGTGGCGAGGAGAGAAATCGATTGTGACATCCTGTATCCTTGTTGGGGAGCAGAGTTCGTGTCCCGTACCCCTATATATACGATAGCGAGAAGCGCTATGAACAGTACGCGTAGGGTCATCATTGCTGCTATTGCTCGGTCCTGTGTCTTCGCACGGGAAGAAGTGTATAGCGAATTACACCTTCGCTCCATAACCTTTCTGAATGAAGGAAGATCTGCACATGAGCTGCCACTAATCTGTGAACTTGGCGCACAGGAGCCGCCGCCGAAGGTTAGAACCCGTATCCTGATTGGAGGTCCAGCGATTTGTCACTATGGGCAGTACAATGGCGGCGGCAGATTTACCCAGTGGCCGCCTAAAAAGCCTCTGCACCCGAAACATAACGGTGTTAGATAGCGAGACGCCTACTAGGGTCGAGTTCCGATCCGCCCGATGCCCGAAGCCTGAAGGTGCAGTGTTTGTAAGACCAGGCAAGTCAACTCATTCATCGGTTTTGACGCCTACTACATACGCGCCTGCAGGACACACGGTCTCCTGCGGATGAGCAAGCTCGGGTATTGCAAATGCTAGCAGGCGCAATGCACTGAATGGTACGGCGGATCGACCTGAAGTAGAGACAGATCTGCCCATCCAATTCAGCAGAGGATGATGACTGACCAGGACTCACCAACATGTAGATGTACTATGTCCTCCATTAGCTCAGAAATCAGTTACCGGCGAGGCCTCAGCACTGTTAATGGAGGCGCCGAAGCACGCGCTGAATTGCTACAAGGAAATAGTGCGATTAGTTCGGCAGGTAATATGTTTTCTCCTCTCCGACTGGCATGATGGGACGAGTACTGAGGGCGGAATAGGATGCAGGAGGCGGTAGATACTACTCAGTAGTAAAGAACGAAAGTGAAGAAGAAAGGCGCTTACAAAGCACAACAAGCATTTTGCGGAGTTCCAAACAACCGGCGTCCCTTGGTCAACGACTTCCTTCTCGAGCTCGCTGTGGCTGGTGTTACGCTCTCTCACCGCTGCTCTTACATCTTCTCGACCATGGAGTCTAAGAAGAGGCCACACGCAGACGATGGAGAACACTCGCGAGCCAAGAAGCGCGCGGTCTCGGACGACCGTGCCTCGCCGAGTCATCCTAACGGAACGGCTGTGTCTCATGGTGACGAGCCAAAAGAAGGCGATAATATCGAGGTGCTTCAGCAGCAGTCCGGGAGTTGGTTGCGCGTAGCTAATGCGGGGCAATGTAGTTGTTTCGGAAGGAGGCCATATTCAGGCGCATGAAGCATTATTCACGCGAGGCGGAGAGGAGCCAGGCACGAGTCGCAGACCTAGAGCGACGGTTTAGTACGTGTCGAGCGGGATTAGCAGCCTTGGAGGTGTGCTGGACGCAGGTGAGTGGCCATGGCACGCGTTTGATTTCGTCCCTCATGTCGTGCGCAGTTGATTGGCACAATCCGCTCTCTCGCGAGGCCGGAGGACCTCCCTTCTTTCCCGACAGAGTCCGAAGGCGAGTCGTTCTCCGGTATCGCATTGGCATGTAATGGGCACTCATATTGTCGTCTGTCTTAGGTATCAGTAAACTCGCCGATCGTCTCGCCCCCGGAGCAGAGCCGGCCTATGTGGAATCATTGCAAAACAAGTTGCATGATACGTTGGAGATAGTCCAGGAGTTTGTTGCGTTGAGTAGCCAAAGTCATACAGGTCCCTCCAACGAGGATTTGCTGAAGCAGTGTCATGAAGCTGAGGCAGAGGTATGTGGTGGCCGTCTATGACCTATGGCGTAAAGATTGAAGTGCCTCTAGCGCTCAGCCCTCCGGGGCGAACTATTGCATGTTGGGGCGCGGCTTCGTGATGCTGAAGCAAAGGCGGAGAGGTACCATGAGCAGCTCTTGGCGGTGGAGAAGCGTGTGGATAGGTTACAGAGCAAAACCTTGACTCCAAACCACATTACGATGAAGGAAGAATCACTGCGAAGCCCATCTATTGAGAACGGAGGATCGTCTCCTGCGGTAAGCCCAAGCTTCCTTCGTTCTGTGTCTTACAGCGCCATGACAGACTGTCTTCGACGATTCCTTTCAGCCGCCGCCGATAGTCAATGGCAATCACAGCGCTGAGTCCGATGAATGGCTCGACCTTGCGAATCTCCGGGAAGCGAAGATCGAGGAATTAGTTCGCGAGAATGGTGATTTGCGAGTTCGGTTGCATGAGGCACAGCTACAGGTACCTGGCTATCTTTCAACTTGTCAACGCCAGAGGTATGCTCACGCAACATGGATTGCAGCTCAAAATTCCTTCGGAAGAGCTCGTGACCAACTCCAGCCACTACCAGGTTCTCTTGGAGCGTGCTTCTAGGCTAGAATATGCTTCTCAAGAAGCTCAGATGGAGGCGAGCAAGCTCAAGGAACAGCTGGATAACCTGACTGCATCGCGTTCGGAAGTCGAGAGCAACATGAAGGTAGACCTCCACCATCTCTCACCCAGTTGTCGCCATTCACCACTTTCATAGGCCTCACACGAAGCCGCGATAAACGAGTTGAAGGTTATGCTCAGTAGACGAGACTCCGAGAGTGCACGACTTCGCGAACAGCGGGATCAATACCAGGCCGAAATCAACGAACGCAGGACTAGAGAGTCAGCCAAGTTCGCTTCCATCCTGGAGTTCAAGGTGTTGGCAGAGAATCGTGCGGTACGTGCGAATGAGCGCGGGCGCGTACTTAGGCTAACGGTCCCCTAGGAACGTATAGCGGTTCTCGAGTCGGAGAACAAGAGACTGAAAACGCGTCTCGCTGCTCAAGCTAGCGATGAGGACCTCCTGAAGTTTATATGGCAGAGTACTGTTGAAAGTCCGTCTTATGTGGAGGATCTCAAGCAGAGGCTACAGTGCGTGGCTCGTCAAAGGTGCCTCCTTGTCATTGGCTGAAATGTGTTCCAGTGTTGCTGAAGAACGTGCCGCCGCGCTGGAGAAGACTCTTGCTTCGTTGCAAGGTAATCATACCGATATTGCCAAGAATGAAGCCGAAACTCGACGCCAGCTTGCCAAAGTTCAGAAACAGCTGGAGAGGTATCAAGCTATCTATGGCGATGCGTCGACGATGTCCGCGGACGCCACGCACTTGTCGGAACAGCTGCAACGCAAGCAGGAGGAGCTGGATAAGCTGGCCCTCCAGGATCAGCAGCGTGAGCTGGTGGGCTACCTATATGATTTATGGTGTATCATATGTGCTCATACCGCAGGATAGGCGGAGTCGGCGTTATATGCAGAGATAGACAAGTTGTCTGCTGCGTGGGAAGGCCTTGATCGCCAAGTCAAGAACAAGGTTTTCGACCTCTCCAACCTAGAAGAGCGAGTAACCAAGCTCACCACCGAGGTAAGCGACTCGCCGTCTTGCGCTTTCCATGATCACTGAACTTTACGCAGAGGGCGAAGTCGGAGAACAAGTTCTATCAGTGCATGCGCGATAAAGACGCTTTGGATTCAGAGCGCAAGAGGCTTTCGATGAACCTCGAGAAGGCGACAAAGGCCATCGATAAACTTACCGAGAGCGAGAAGAGCCTTACGCTTCGTGTGGTGAGTTTTCCGGCACCTGCGACAAATTGGTCGGTTACTTACCCGCACTGTACGCAGGCCGATCTGGAGAAGGAACTTGGACTGTATAAGAAGCTGGCAGACAAGCAGCGCGAGCGAGGGAGTGCTCTTGAAGCCGACCTTGCTGATTGGCAGACACGCGCTCGACTAGAGCTCAGGAATGCAGAAGAGGTGAGTGATATGTTCGCCTTGTTTGCGTCGCCACTGACAGCTAGATGTCGCCGATAGATGAAGGCTACATTCCAGGAGCAAACACGCAATCTCAATGAGAAGCGAGAGGAGCTCCGGAAGCTAGAGGAGAGCCTCCTCAAGAGCAAGAAGGACGCAGAGAAACAGGCGGCGAAGCTCAAATCTGTATCCGTCATTTCTGACCCGACCGCCAAGGAGACCCAGGTACAGAAAGACCTCGCGAAGTGCATGGTAAGGGTGCTCCAGGGAATTAACTATCCTCTCGAGAGCTGACCTGGATAAAAATTGACAGGAGCTGCTCAAGTGCTCGACATGTCAGATCAATATGCGCAATACAGTGATCACGAAGTGCATGCATAGTGAGTCCGCCCACCCGCGAGGATAGTGTGCCTGTTGACCAACGTTGTTTCTAGCGTTCTGCAAGCAATGCGTCGACGCCCGTATATCAACGCGACAACGCAAGTGTCCGGCCTGCAACCTTGCGTTCTCTGGGGGCGAAGTCAACACCCTTTATTTTCAATAATGGTCACGCATTTGCGCGTGGTACGGGACGCCGGTTATCTTGTCATGGATCTTTTGCTTTTGGTGTACCTTATTACATACATTCGCTCTCATCCCTTTATTCCTTCCCTCATGCTCTGTGTCGCCTTTCAATGAATCCCTCCTCTCATTCGAACGGCATCTCACCGACAGGATTAACTGATTTCGAATCCTTCATGCCGCCACTTCCGAGTGCTTGGTGAAAATACATCTGGTCGACTAGGCCGCGGATTACTGTGGTGAGGTTCTTATCGACAGTCAACTCAGGCTGCATGCCAAGTAGATGTGTATCTCCGGGCTTGGGTCATGTGGAGTGAATGTCAAGAAGGGCAGCTCCGGAGCCTCACCCACATCGTTGGATCAAGAAGCGACGCATAAGGGTGTGTGTCCGCAATGTCAACGCGTTCTTTCTAAGGGGAGTACAGCGATGTCACGATGGCTAGCATGCACTACAGCCTGAGGTACATAATGCAACGCTTTCATACTGTGCCACAATTGACATCTCATCCACTCTACTTCCGAAGCTTGTCTGTCTGCCGGCCTCCATGTCTGCCGTTGGAGAGGAGAGGTGCAGAGGTACTCAACCGTTCCGTTTCAGTTTATCTCCCGCACGGTCAGTAAGGATCGTGACGTGCCGGAGCAAAGCAATGTGATTATGAGCATTCGACGCGATTATTGTGACTTCTGTGAAGCTACGACGGCCTGAACTGTGTCACTATGCTACCAATATAAGATTGACCCAGAGCACAATGTGGGGCTATGTCACAGCGTGATATTGCACGTGCCCTCCGCCAAAGGGTGACAACCCCGCCGGCGCTCAGCCACGATTTGGCAGGGAATTGGCAGGGAGGTCGATGCGTATTTCTGTATAGGCTCGGTCCCCTCCTCTCAAACAGAAAATCGAAAACGGTGTCTTTGTAGCAAGGGCACCCCGCAACAAAGTTACGGTCGCCGTTTTGTCAATTGGGCTCCCCTCGTCGAGCCTATGCGGATTTCGTACTTTTCCCCGCCAAAGCGTGACAGAAATGGCACGTGATGCCCCACGTTGTGCTCTGGGCCAATCTTAATTTGTGGGGATCGCACCACTACCAGGCTAGCACAAGACATATGTTTGATATTTTGGCACGAGTGAGTACCACTTGATCTGTAGCTGCGTGCATGGAGAAGCAGCAGTCTCGGGCAAGAATACGGGCACAAACTATGAAACGTAGATGTTGAGTCGTCGTTGACTTTGAAATGCTCGACATTCCGCTGGGGTGTCAGAGCATATGTCAGATTACGACCCGAGCCCTACGCTAGGAAAACAATCCACTGAACGCGGAACCACCTTTCCAAGAGGGCCTGATTCGTTGGAAGTCAAGGCGTCTCAACCGGGCACCGGGCATCGTCCCAGCCACAAGGCATGTGCGATCATCGTGACCCGGATAGTTGAGATGTCGGACTTGGGGTCCTGGTGTAACGATCGGCAGCTAGCGTCGCAGCGGGTGTTTACAGCAAGCGAAAGACGTACAGCGGCCATCATGGGCATGCACCTCAAGCTCGAGGGAGTCGTTGTCACGTGTACAGGCTCCTGTCCTCGGATGTTCGAGACCGCTCCAACAGAAGAAATTCAGTTTTAACGTCCAACAATAGACCACGGCATGAAAACCCTGTCGAATACAGGCCAGCATAGCCGGTCTGGCCCGCATGCCGGAACATGTCTACAATGCACACCAAGCCGGTCCTCGGGTTTTCACAACCGTTCAAACTGAGCCAGTTAGGCAGAGGCGTCGCATAGCACCTAGTATGCCTGGAATGTCAAGTTGAGGACAGAAAGAACTTGAGGTACGGTACCAAACTGGCAACATCTTCAACTCTGCAGCACTCCCGTCATGTTATCCCTGTCAGCGGGACTTGCGTTGGCCCACATCCTGCGGACACACTAGAGCAGGTTGCATGGATTACGACAACACGGGCCAAAAATATATGATTGTAGCAGCAGAATGCTTGCAAAGCACCACAACGAGACTGTATCACCGCTTGACCCAAGTGTACTAGCGACAAAGTGGTTAGCATATCATACTCGTGTGGAGAGTCAGGTGGACGTACAGCCTTGCGAGCCTTGGCGCGACCCGTCTTCTTACGCTCAACCATGCGAGGATCGCGCTTAAGCAGTTTCGCTGATGCGGAACAAGGAGTCAGTCTCAAGCCGCGAACACGATTCCCTCCAACGCACCTTTGCGGAGCAGAGGCTCAACATCTGGAGCATGTGCAGCGAGTGCCTTAGCAATGGCGAGGGTCACGGCGCCACTCTGGCCGGTGCTACCTCCGCCTCGGACGATGGCGAACACGTTGTACGCGCCGAGGAGACCGGCAATACGGAATGGACGCACGACGCGCTCACGGTCGCTGACGTGTGGGCTGTATACGCATTTAAAAGATGAGGAGCAGAAGCAATGGCTAGGGCGTAGCAGAACTCACAAATACTCAGACAAAGGAATATTGTTGATTAGGATACTTGTAGTGGAAACCTTGACCGGAGGGGCTGGGCTCTCGAAACCCTCGATGCTAGCAGCAATCGCTGGGGGAGATGACGACTCCGGAACATCTGGCGTTTGCGATGCAGTGACCTCGGTAGTAACCTCTTCAGTAGCCTCGGAGGGAGTGGCAGATGAGGCGGACTCGCCCTCTGCAGACTGAGCAGCGATGACCCAACACCGCGCTGTGCTTTCCTTTCTCCGCCCAATCGTGTACGACCGTCCGTACTCGTCAAACTTCACCGGCTTCCTCTTGCCCCTTGCCAGGATCGCGTCCTTGTTGTCCCTCTCGAACATACCAAGCACGCGTTGTATGCGTTCCGCCAGCTCGACGTGTCCGGCGACCTCCGCGAGCCGCCTGTACTCGTTCAGCTGGTTCAGCTGGGCGATAAACCGGCGGTACCGTGACGTCGTGAGCTTTGCGGACATGAGCTCGCCGAGGTCTAGCTTGTTTTTCCATACGCCATAGAGGGGAGGAAGGTTTTCCTGCGCGAAGCGAGGGAGGGGCAGCAGCTCGAGTTCCTGCAGAGCAGAGCGGGTGTGTTTTGCCGCGCTCTCGAGCGCAAGGAGCTGGTCGTAGTAGGTGGCGCGGCCGGTGTAGAAGGTAGGGGACTCGGGTTTTGGTTTGGGAGGAGGGACACGGGCTCTCTGGAGAGTCGAGAGAGAGGCGGGAGGGACGTACGCAGTGGTTGCGTACGTCCGGAACCGGAGTGCGCTCTTGGCGACGTGTCTAGCAATGTTCATGACAGGAGCAGTCCCCACAAAGAGCGAGAAGAGGCCTAGCGACGTCCGAGTCCGTGTCCCAGGCAGAGCTCGCTGTCGGTAACAGTGTCCAGCACCTCGGCAGGCGCTTACACCCACTGCCAATGCCGTGGGATCCTCCTGCCCAATGCAGCAGCATAGAGTGTCATAGACCGCGAACGCGCAGTGGCCAGGAACCGACGTCCTCGACGTGTAACACCTCTTTCTTGTTGACAATATCTCGGACCGGGGCTCTCGGAATTCATAGGCTTGCTGGTGCCTCCTGGATCAGACACTCTCGGACAGTGACATATCTCTCAGTACATTCCAAGGCAAATTCCACATGGCTGCTTCGGAGCAGAACTTCTCTGGGGCTCTGGCGACATGGAAGAGTATGTACTAACTCCATAGGACTGCACAACTCATACTGAGGACCGGATAGATATTAATCTCGCGGAACTACAGAAAACTCTCGATGCCCAGGGAATCGAGGTCGTGGAGAACCAGAAGGAGGGCGTTGTAGGGCGGAAGGCATTGGCAGACCGCACAAGAGGTGCGCGCAGCCTACTGTGAGATCTGTGTAGGTCATAACCCTTTTGGGCAGAGTTTAAGAAGAGTCCGGACGAGGAGAAGCTCACGGCAATCAAGGGCTTGCTGAAAGGTGCGTGTTGGTCCAGCCGTCCACACTACTGCCAACCAAGTTTCGTCTCTGCCAGCCTACCAGACCGAGATAGACAACCTGACGAAGCGTTGCAAGACCGCAGAGAATGCATTTCTAAACGTGTACAAAGTCCTAGCGGAAGCTCCAGATCCATACCCTCTCCTCGAGGCTGCTGTGGTGCGTTCCTATGGAATCGTTCGTGCGCATCTACCCTACAATGTCAATTGCGCATATTATAGGACCAGACGGTGAAAGTCGCGGAGGCGCGCGACTTGGAAGCCGAATTGCAACGCACTCGCGAAGAGAATGTTGACTTGCGCAAGCGGCTCAGCGAGACCTCTTCGCTGGAAAGCGCGAAGCGCAAGGCGGAGTCTCGTGTGGAGCAATTGGAACAGAAGGTTGGTTGTCAATCTACTTTGCTGTTGCAAACGCATATACTGACTTGGAGTGCAGATGGATGACCTCATACAGGAGAAGGTGACACAAAAGGAGAACGAGCTGAACGCCACGTATGACGAGAAGATGCGGAACTACGAGGAACGGTGCGTCTTCTCGTGCGAGATACTGTACATGGGTTCTTACGCATATCATCAGTGAGCAGGACCTCCAGCGCCAGCTTGCCCTGACGAAGAACCAGCTTCGCGACCTCCGGTCTTCTCATGAGTCGAACCAGGCTAAGCTGCTTGACCACACTCAACGGCAAGGTGTGACTACTGGCATTGTAATGGAAAGGCAGAGATATTGACACCCCTTCCAGATCAGGAGGTCGTAGCGAAACTCGCAGAACTGGACATGATGGTCGCTGACTTGGAACACGCGAACAGTCGTATAGCCACAGTCGAACGTCGTAACGTGTGTACCCACTCGTTTCGGGATGGGTTGTTGGTTTGTTTCTGAAAGGGATCATGTAGGAGCTCCTTCGCGCCGAGATCGAGGCGATGAAAAGCGGCCACGAAGGAACTGCGCGGTAAGCAAGGACATCCACTCGTCACTCGCTATTCTGCACTCACGCTTGGGCTCCGCTGCCAGCATCACGGAGTACGAGACCAAGGTTGCAGATCTGGAGACCGAGACCGACCGCCTCTCTCAAGCTTTCGAGGCCCAGAAGGCTGCCGCGGAGGAGGCTCAATCTGCGGCCTCCAAGAAGATCGACGAGCTTGGGCGGGAGATTCAGAAGAAGGTGCGGTTCCACCCTACCAATCTGGGACCTGGCTGGCTAACCATGAAAGATGTAGGCGGCCGAGGTCGACCAATACAAGGCCAAGCTCAAGCAGTATGCCGACTACGATGAGATCAAGCGAGAGCTTGAGATCATGAAGGTCAGATCGTCGGTCGCAAGGGCACCTCACGCAGAGATTGATACCCTTGGTAATAGTATGTCGAATTTGCCGGCCTAGAAGACGACGACGATGCAGAAGACGACGCGACACTCAATGGTGATGCCCTTGGTCTACACTTACCTGACCCCAACGCAGACAAGGCCAACGCCCAGCGGGGCAAACCCCTAGAGGTTCTTCTGGCTACGAAGAACAAGCGCATACTTGAAGAGCTCACCAAGTTCCGAGTATGTCTCCTTCATATATCCTGGCATCCTCGCCAGTACTCATGGCCCCCCTTCAGATCATGCACGGCGAGCTTGAGGCTGCGCTCCAGTCCGTCAAATCGCAATTGGAGGTAACAGAGTCGGAGCTGGACAAACAAAGAGCCCTAAATGAGAAGCTCGAGACCGACTTGCTCCAGATGGACCAGCGAAAAGGTGATACTGGTGATCGCGCTTCTTCTGCGAATGGCACGTCTACACCCGTGGATGTGCTGGCAAGCCTGGAGCTGGGCAAGAAGGCAGGGGTAAGCGTAGGAGAGCACGGGATAAACGACTTCGTACTAACTTGATATAATGCAACAGGAGTCACCGGCGAGGAGTACACCCATACCATTCGCCCCTTCAGCTGATACCTCAATCCTACCGATCGTGACCAGTCAGCGAGATCGCTTCAGGCAACGCAATGCAGAGCTCGAAGAAGAGCTGCGGAAGCAGTTCAACATCATCTCAGAGCTTCGAGCCGAAGTCAAGAGCCTACAAGCGGACAACCTGAAGCTGTACGAGAAGGTCCGGTACATGCAGAGCTATCGCGAAGACTCGTCGACCCGACCATCAAAGCTTGACCCGTTACCTTCGAACGCTGCTGGCCGTCCTGACGACATGAGCAAGTATCGTGCGAGATAGTACGTAGCAGAACCAGATGTGATCCGCTAAGGGCTTCGCTGACGCCGAGGATAGTGAGGAGGCCATGAACCCTTTCCAAGCCTTCCGCGGCAGAGTATGTTCCCCAGTGAGATGTCTGTGACGTGTGCCGCTGACAGTTTGTTAACAGGAAGCGACTCGGGCATACGAATCTCTGAACGTCCTAGAGCGAGGCGTGCTCGTGCTGACACGTGCGATACTAGGTAACCGACGGACTCGGACCGCCTTTATCTTCTATGCATTTGCACTGCATCTGCTTGTTTTGTTCACACTATATGAGTGCAGTACATCGTCTGGGTCGTCTGTGCAGCGTCCACAGAAACCTTACTAGCTGAGTACTTATGTTACGTTGCTCTCGGACTTTTACTAGTTAATGTTATACATCGCCGTTCAGTGGTTTCATACACGTCGCTATGCGCAGTACGGTGAAGGATGTTTCGGAGCGTGAGCTGTTTTACTCAAACCGAACGTCCAAGGTATATACCATCGAGTCGTTTCGACGTGCGGGATGGAATTCTTCCACCTTGACGTCCAGGCAGATCTTCCTCCCTGGGCTTCCAAAAGTCAAGGTTCCCTGAGTTAGATGGATCCTGGGGCAAACCGGCTTTTGCTGATCGAGAGCCATCTCGTTGATCGGCTTTGGTTCGGTGAGCTAAAAAGCTGTTGGCTCCGCGATCACGTCCACCCATAGTCGGTTGAAGTAAGTCGACCATTGATCGCTGGAACAGCTGCATCCCTGTCCAAAGATGATATGAATGGATGTCGGTTCGAGCGCAGAGGGTTTGATGAACGTGACGCAGATGGATGGGGTTGAGTCAGCAAGCTCGACAGCCAGCCCGTCCTCAAGCTCTTGGTCGGGGCGAGTGAGCTGTAGCCCACGTTGTCGCATACGGGAGATGAACCAGTAAGGGAAGAAGAACACATGAGGTCGATGAAGCCTTCTAGAACCGTGCATTCCAGGGAAGAACACAGGTTCCGCGCGTCGGGCGGTGGTCCAGTTCCGTAGAGACTACAACGGCGGTTATAGCCCGGAGGGGGATCGGGCCATGATGGTATATAACCGCCCTTTCGGGTTACTCAACCTGCAGTCGTCCATCGTCAGCGTCTTGATTGACGCAGCACTCTCCTCCACAGCTCTGCTGAGAAAGTGTGTGGAAGCCACGGTCGAGACGCAGGCCCACAGTGAGAGCCTTGGGACGAAATTCGGTAGGAAGGACGATGCGTCGGCAAGGGTTCGCGCTTCGGATCCAGAGTCAACTGGCGGATGCGGTCGAGGCGTTCTGGCTGTGAGGAGTATGTGATGCGGATTCCCTTTAGTGCCTGGTCTCCGGTCACATCCAGACTAGTGCGTTGGTCGAGGAGGCGTCGAGCCTCCGGTGACCACAGGGAGTGCGTGAGGGAGCACGCTTTGAGAGTCTTCGGGTCGTCAGCGAGGTTGGCGAGTATGGCGTGGTGCAACTCGACGGGGATGTCGTGTAGGGTCCTGGGGGTGTCCATTCTGAGGCGGGAGAGAGGTCAGATGAGGTTGCTAGTTGGTAACAAGAGGGCTTATAGAGGTGATAGACCAAAGGACATGGGCCTTTGGCCACAGACGAACTTGCCGGTCAACCGGTCATGGCTGACGGACCAAAGGGGAACAATGGAGAGCTTGAGACACCGCCCGCTTTGTGCTCGCGACATGGCTAGAATGCAGTGCATGAATGATAGTCGATGGGCAAAACGCTGTGACCTCTACGCCATCGTTCCACATCCGACTGTAGACACAACGTGTCCCAAAAGTTCCAACTAGTCTCTGGACTCCTCTTTGTTTCCCTCTAGAAGATGACAGTGACAGACACAGCAAAGGACTCATTACTACGACCACGGCCCGCCATGACTACTTGCTCGACGTCGCCCGCTGCACAATTCTCAGGCCACGGTTGTTGGGCAGCGCGCCCAACCGTGTGCGGATGAACGAGGCTGCCGTGTCCTTCGCATGATGAATATGGAACAGCACCTCGCAAACGGACGCGAAGCGTTCCTCTTGAAGCGTACAAGCGACCTTGTCCCAGTCAAAAGCCACGAGGTCTTTGCATGCCGCGCTCTGGGCTTTGATAACGAACTTGACAAGGCGGAGTTTGGGGGCTCGCACGGTGTCCAAAAGAGCCGGAACCCACGAGAGAGGGTCCATTCCCTGCGCCGAGCGCCTCAACTCCATCTTGAATTCGAGTAGCCGCAGCTCAGAGCAGTTGGCGGGTGTCAACGGAAGGGCTTCATTTGGAGGTCTGTCGTTAGCGACGTGGAAGATAAACAGAAAGCAGGCTACTTACGTGTGGAGACCGTCTCGGGGATTACTCTGACTCTCAGTTCACGAAGGCTGGGTCCGACTGCTCTGAGGAATTCGTTGAAGCTGCTGAGATTCCCGCTGGCGATGCCTATGTCGAGGAAGCGAACCGTTTGGAATGCCATCGGATGCTCGATCAGGGCCTGAACAACAGTTGCTGTCGAGACATCCCGTGGTTCGTTGTTGATGAGAGACAGTGACAGCAGCGTGGGTATGCTGACATTTGGGACGATAGATTGGTCGTAGGATCCCGACCTGCAACGTTCTACGTTGAGGTGACGGAGCTGTGTCAACCTTCCAATTAAGCTATGGAACGCTGCGGCGTCGTCGGCGCTGCAGTCCCGCAGACTTAGCTCCCGAAGAGACGGGGCGCTTGTAGCTACCGCCACGCAGACCCATGGGTCCGACAGATCAACATCCACAAGTCGCAGTCGCTGGAGACCCGACAGCTGCAGGTGCTTCGGTGGCCTGTGATGTCCTTTAACGCTGTTCAGCGTGAGCTCGCGAACTCGAGTGGCGAGCTGAGGACGGATAGCAAGCGTCGATGAGATCGCATCGCTGTTCCTCTGGCTCATGGCGATTCGGAGGTGAAGGTTGTGTTGGGCTCGCGGTAGCCACAACTTGCACGTAAGACAACAGGCCCTTAGCGTAGTCGGATCGCCTACGAGCAGGTCGAGGATGGCATCATGGAGCTCTGGAGGGAGGCTGCTGAGCGTGGCAGAAGACCGCATGTTTGCCAACAAAGAGTGGCGGCCGGACGAGGAAGTTTGTGGAGGATGAGTCGGCGGTTAGGCCAGGGAATGCGGTTAAGTACTATTTCACGCTGGAAGCACAGGCGTCTAATCGTGTTGACGTCTCAAGTGGCTCACCTGCTACGGGCACGAACACAAACGCGTACAGAAAGAGGACGACTTAGATTACACTTCGTATCCGTGCTTCGCAGCCAATATTAATCTCTAGCAATACAAGGGACGGGAGATACATCCACGAGGTATCCTGTGGATCAAGACGGTGATTGTCAGAGAAGGAAAGGGACGACGTTACTGATGCTTACCACCTTCACCGCAGCCCGAGCCGTTCGTCCTTCGTCATGGCTTCTCTCTTCTTCTTTGCCTCCTCCGCATGATGATATGGCTGGATGGGTGTGGAAGATGTCTTCGCCTGCGTAGTGCCCTGTTTCTTCGCCAGCTTCGCAGCTCTCTGGCGCGTTATCGCGTCGCTGACCTGCTGGACGTCCATTTCCGTCATCGGGATCATCGTGGGAGGCCTCCGAATCATATCTGCTTGCGACCAGCGATAGTTTCCAGTCTAGCGTAATGCTGTTCTGCGCACTGAGGTGACAGCGCAGCGACGTATACGCTGCGTGAGGAGAGAGAACGTGGAAGACGTGAAACAATGGCTGGACGGAGGTACTGCGGGCAGAGGGGACAAAGGGAGAAACGACTGCGGGCGCAGGCGCCCATTGTGCAACGTAAAACATCTCGCTCATCCGGCCTCCCTCCGCCTGCATCATACCTTCCTCCTGCGCACTCGCTTACGCCTTCCCTCTTCCGCCACGCACTGCAAATACTGTACTCGACCACTTGCATACCACCCAATAACTCACTATGGAGGCTCTCATGCGCGTCACCGACACTATCAAGTCCATTAGGGTCCGTCTGTCATGTCCTCCGCTCGCATGTCCCTGGGTCCTGACGTCTCTCGGCTGGGGCTGCTGTAGGAAACTCGCTTCAGCGCACTCCGTGCACCGACAGAGTTCTTTGACGTCAACCGCATCTCAAGACCTGCCGACCTGAACCAGGCAACACATGTGCGCACCCATCTCATCCTAGTGCATGTGCCCTCGTAGCTCATGCGATTTCGCAACTGGACATTCGCTATCGTTACGGACTATAGCGGATATCCTACAACACTCGCTACTTCTCAGGTGCGCGTCCAGTGTTAACATCCAGCCATTTCACAGAGGCTGACCCTGGTATGTAGGAAACTACGGCCTAATTGTGGCGCTCTTGGCCGTCTACGCTCTGTATGTCCGCGCGAGCGTATCCCCGTTGCCCTTGAGCCTGACATCGTTATAGTCTCACCAACTTCCTCCTCATCTTTGCTGTCCTCTTCCTTGTCGGCGGGTTCGCCGCGATCAACCGCTTCGGTACGTCATGTTACTGCACACCCCTCAGCAGCCTGACGTTCTAACGCTCCTCTGCCCTGTGCCCATCCTCGCCCCGCGCTCTCTGTGCAACCGCCGGAATGCATCGCGCCAAACCCAACTCTCACACGACCGCCTCGACCGCCATCCGCGTCCACCCACCCCGTTCCTCTCGGCTCACGTCAACGTCTCGTGCCCTCGCATCATTGCCAACATCCAACGAACATACACACCACGCCCTCAGCGCCCGACCCGATACAAGTCGGCGAGCACGTCGTCACTCAGAAGTCGCTCTACACCGGTCTCTTCGTGATCGGCATCCCCCTCCTCTATATCTCGTCCCCGTTCAGCACCTTCTTCTGGCTCGTCGGCGCCTCCGCCGTCCTCATCCTCGGTCACGCAACGATCATGGAGCCCGGCATCGAGAGCGAGTACGCCCAGGTCCAGGAGTCCGTCTAAACCCACTCCCCTCATCCCCGTCATCCCTCTTGCTCGTGAGACGGCAGCAGAGGCGGCCAGTGCGGACGTGCGGGTCCAGGTTTCTCAGTCCTCATCACCGTATCCGTATAGCGGAGGGGCGAGTGAGAGCGGGAGCGGCGGGCAAGATAGACATGTTCCGGATGGTCTGGCTCGTTTGGTGCTCGACGTGGTCCGGCGGCGGCGGGGTGTCGCTGGTAGCTGTTTGATTGGGTAGAATATCCTTGGACACGCAATCGTCTTACTTATCCCTTCGTCTTCATCCTCCCGGGACACTTTATCATGTTGTTCGTCCGCTCTGCTACCTTCCGACTCGTGCAACAAAAGTGAAACAAGCAGCGACTGTATTCACACCGCTCTGAAGATCCACGCAGAAGACGGAGGCTCGGTCGATCGTATACAATGACTAATAAGTAGTACATGGTCCGACGGCGTGAGCGTATGCAGGAACCGCAGACATCGAGGACAGATGATAGGGATGAGCGACAGCGACGAAAGCGCGAGTGGTACACGAACGTGATCGAATATGCGTTACATTCTAGGGATCGGGAGTGTCCAGTCTCCTGGAAGAGGCGGGACGGCGGGGGAGTCGGGGGGCGTGCGGTCATCCCGCTATAACAACGGCAGCCATTGTCCTGCGCGCGCGCACAACCGCGTCTCAGCAACAGCAGAGGCAGCGGAGAAACCGAAGCCGACAGCGGAGGACACGCACCGATGACGAGGCTGGGGAGGTCCATGATGTCCCGCCGGATCGAGAAGCAGAACGTGCACGGCACGGGCGCGCCGCTCGGCTTGAGGAGGACGCAGTGCGAGTACACGGACTGCGTCGTGTTCTCGAACGCGTGGTTCGCGAAGTTCTCCCAGTACTCGACCACCGACTGGTTCTCGAACAGCTGCGCCCGCCGTCCGCCCGCCCGTCAGCTCCACGCATCGAATCACCCCCAGAGAACCGATGGGACGCACCTCGTAGATGTACTTCCGCTTCCCGACGAGCTCCTCGCGCTCCCAGCCCGCGAGCATGCAGAACTCGGGGCCGACGAGGCAGATCTCGCCCGTGCGGCGCCACGCGACGGTCGGCGTGCCCGAGAACGAGACGAGCTTGTCGAGCTCGATGAGCGAGCGCTGGAAGCACTTCTCCACGAACACCTCGTCCTCCTCCGTCATCGGCATCTGCAGCGCGATGAACGACGGCCGCACGATCGCCAGCGCGCGCACGATCCGCAGGATGTCGTTCTTCTCGAATCTGCGTCGTCGTTGTCCGTGTTGTTGGTATTGTTCCCGTAGGGGGAGCGATGGACGTCGAGCGGGCCGAGGTGGCAGGGACCGGATGCGGAAAGGCGAGGAAAGGGAAAGAAGACCCCCAGCAGCACAGCACAGCACCCACACGCCCACACGCGCGAAGGTTCAGAGTTTCGGCAGAGGAAGTCGAGCCCGTTCGACGACAAACAGAGCAAGAAGGACCGCGTTGCGAGCAAGAAGACCAAAGACCGCACATCAGCACTCGACGTCCCACCCCGCAACCCCAAGCAAACACATGCGCGCCCAGCGACGGGCACACACGCACACAAACGACACGACGCACCTCCTGCTCATATGCTTCATCAAGAAGTGGTACCCCTCCGTGTAGTCGTACCCCTTCGTCACGTTCCTATACACGCTCTGCACCGCGCCCTCGCTCCCCACCCCGCTCGCGCCCGCCCCCGCCCCCGCGTTCAGCCACAGCGACGACCCGTTCCCGCTCCCCGCCGTCCCCCTCGGCGACGCCGCCGACATCGTCTGCCGCCGCGGGCGCACCAAGAACGACTGCGGCGACGGCGGCTCGTACGCCTGCCCCGGCGCAGGCACCTGCCCCTGCGCCTGCTCGTACCCCTCGTACTGCGCGGGCCCCGCCTGGCTCCCCTGCGCGGCATACCCTGTCGAGGGCGCGCCGTACTCCGCGGGCACGCCCCCCACGACCTGCGCGTCCGCCATCTGCGCCTGCTCGCCGTACGCCTGCGCGCCCCCCGAGCCCGAGCCTGACGCCGGGGGGTATCCGGGGGGATACTGCGCCTCGACGGGCGAGGGCCACGACGCGGCGGAGAGCCCCGACGACTGCGCGGGGACGTACTGCGCGCCCGCGGAGGAGGAGGAGGACGGCCCTGCCTGTGGCTGGGCCACGGTCGCGTGCGCCGCGGCGGGGGAGCCGTTGGAGGCGCCGGAGTCGGGGGAGCCCCCGAGGATGGCGGAGAGGATGGAGTACTCGAGGTTCGCGGCCTCGGCGGGGATGCCGTACTGGGCGGACGCCGCGGGGTTGACGCTGTACACGGGATACATCGCGTCCGGGGAGATGTACTGCTGGGGATGAGCGGGCGCCGACGGCGGCGGCGGCGGCGGCTGTTGAGGGGGGGACGGATCTGGGGGTTGCGCTGTGAGGCGGACCGTGTTTGAGTACGGGTATGGATACATGGCGCACGAGAGGAGCAGAGGGCGGGAAGGCACGTACAATGCGTCGTGGGCTCTGAGCTCTTGGAGGAGCCTTCTCCAGACTTTCCGCGCTTGAGGGCCTCTGAGATGAACGCTAAGCTCAAGCAGGCTATCCGGGACGGTCATGTGGTACTCGCCTAGCTCTTCTTCGTCCAGCAGGTACTTGGCTTTCTTGCGGTGGCCCTCGGTGCAGCTGTCAGCCATGCCACGCTTGACACAGCGCTGACATGGTCGTGCTGGTAAGGAAGGCGAGAAGGCAAGTCAGGATGTGAGTTTCCGGGGATAGAACGGTCGTGTGAGTGGAATGAGGATGCGGCGTCGTGAAGGCGGAAGGAAGCACGACGAGAACACTGTCGGTATCCGCCCATGACCGCAACAGATGCAGTAGACGATCCGAGGTGCGTACCCAATTTATAGGATGCCGGAATATAGAACGGCTGGCCAAACCTAGTGCAGCGCGGCTCGGGCGTCATGCGGTGAGCATGCGGACAAACCGGGCAGATAAGACAAGCGTCGCTTGCCCTGAATTCGCGTATGCAGAGACAATGACCAGAAGGGGTATGACGGCATAAACGCGTACATGAAAGGACAGGGGAACGCTCACTGCACGGCCAGTGGAAGGAGGCGGCGCTTTCAGTGCGGGTGGGGGGTTGGGAATTGCAAGTGCACAAGCAGAGAGCAAGGGAGAACGCATAGATGGACTCACAGTCATCGCAGGTGAGGTGTGCCTTCTGACAGTGGAAGCAGGCACGATTGGCCTTTTTCTTCTTGGGGCCGTCGCGTGTCCTGGACTGTGCTCGACCGTCGCGGTTGTCGTTCGCGCTGTCGGAGGTGCGCTTGCGCTTAGCTGTGGGTTTTTTCTTGGGGTCGGAGGCGGAACCAGAGGGGACGGGGGTGTTGTTCTCCGAGTTCGAGGAAGAGGAGGGCAGGGAGGGGTGTTGTGCGACGGGGGGAAGGGCCGAGCTGGAGGTCATTGCGGGGGCTATGGGCTGATGGCGTGTGGGGAGAGCAGAATGCATGGCTAGGAGGCTATTTGAGGTTGCATGGATAAGGAGGACGAGTGAGAAGGAGAAGGCGAAGGAGACGTCGGTCAAGGACAGGCCCTCCCAGCGCTTGTCCTGCCTGCCTCGCCCTCGAGCCGTCGCCCGGCTGCAAACGCCCGGACACGTAATGGCGATTGGACTGTTACGTCACGCGTCTATCCGCCTGCTGTCCGTCACGCCCGCCGTGTCCGTCGGACCGCTTGGCCGTCTTTGCCTTCTGTCTCTGCCGCGTTCGCTCCTTGACACACCCGGAGACGACGCCGACAATCGAGCGCATGTGTCCGGATCGTCCTCTTGTCTCCTTGGTCGCCCTCGTGAGCTAGCATGATGACGTCTGCCACCCTTTCCCGTGCTCTCTCTCAGCTCGAGCGCGCTATTGGTCGCCACTCTGCTCGCACTGAGTTCCGATGGATGCAGCATACTCTCGACAACCCGCCTCCTGCGATACCACCCTCGGCAAACACACTTGAAGAGATGGTCAATAGACGACTGTCCGGAGAACCTCTGCAGTACATCCTCGGTGAGTGCAAACCATCCTTTCCTTCTACCAGCATCATTGTGTCCTGCCCCCACGCCACTCAAACGGTACGTCCCTCGGGACACCCATGCCGCTCGAAGCTACGAAAACCGTCGGCTCGACTCTTGTGACCCCCGCAGTAACGCCCGATCCCAGAATATGTTTAGCACCTATGTATTCGGTATATGAGATGTCAAACTCTTCTTGGCTTTGAGGCGGAATGCCCGAGCGGTATAGGCTTCGTCACTTCCGAAGCACGCTCTTCCACCGTCTCACCCGCATGTCTCTAAGCGCTCCCCTGGCGCCGCGATTTGCATGCATGGGTTTAAAAAGTCGTGCTCATGTGAATGCCGTTGTGACGAACGATGCTCATGTATGCTGTCGCGTTGTTCGCCCCAGCACGGAACAATAAGCCGGTTCACCGTTGAGGATCTTCCTACGATAGACATCGCCTCAACGCTATCTACGACGAGCACTCACGAGAGCGTTTCCCCTCCCGTTCCGCACCATGCCTCGCTCGCAACCAGCACATGCACTCACGCACCGTACGCACCAGGCTCACAGCCCTTCGGCCCCCTCAACCTCGCAGTCCGGCCCCCCGTCCTCATCCCCCGCCCCGAAACGGAAGATTGGACGATCCGCCTCGCCTCGCTGCTCACCCCCTCCCCCGCGCGCCCCCTCAAAGTCCTCGACCTCTGCACCGGGTCCGGCTGCATCCCCCTCCTCCTCTGCCATCTCTGGCCGCCCGGCTCCGCACACGCGACCGGGGTCGACGTCTCCCCCGCCGCCGTCCGCCTCGCCACGGACAACGCCGCCCTCTGCGGGATCCCCCCGCCGTCCCTCGGCCCAGACGCAGCTCGCGGACCCCCGCCCGCTCCGGCCCTCCCGCAGAAGAACACCTTCACCACGCTCCTCGCCGACCTCACGCGCCCCACCTTCGCGCACGACCCCCGCCTCGCGCCGCCGTACGACCTCCTCACCGCGAACCCCCCATACATCCCCCGCGCGCAGTACGAGCGCCTCCCGGCGTCCGTCCGGGACTTCGAGGACGTCCGCGCGCTCCTGGGAGAGACGCCCGAGTGTGCGGAGGGCAGCACGGTGGCTGATGATCGGGTGCCGGCGGCGGACCGGGCGAAGGGCCTGGGGTTCTATTACCGGATCGCGGAGCTCGTCGGGGCGCACGGCCTGCTGCGCCGCGGTGGGGGGACGCTCGCGCTGGAGGTGGGCGACGGGCAGGCGGGGGACGTGGTGCGGATCGTCGAGGGCAGGGCGCGCGTGAGTGAGATCGACGTTTGGCGGGACCCGTGGGGGAAGGCGCGTGTTGTGTTTGCGCGCGCGTAGGACAGCGTGGTCGAGTCGTCGGACGTGAAGGCCTCATATCGCGTGTGCATCTGCGCGCTTGGTATTCTTTACCGTGCGACGAGGTTGTGTGGCATGTCGCACGGCCTGCCGTTAACCTCTGTCTCGCTCTCAGCCGCCTGCTTCTCGTCCCCACAGTAGCCTGCCTCCCCCCCCCCTGCTGCCACGACTTCCCTGGCAGACGCCCACCCCCGCCTCTCCCCGAGAGCCACTGCAGCCTTCGCTGCAGGAACAGCGCAACCCGAGGCACTGCAGTTCTCCGGCGTCCGGCCGGGTCGGCAAGACGTCAAGAAAGTACGCAACACGCGACGGGAACACGACGAGCACCGAGATCGCGACGTCCCCGTGCGTGACACGTGCAGCGACTTCTCCACCTGCTCCGCCCTACCCCTCGCGCAGGACGGTCGCGAGCCGCGGGCACGGCGGTGGTGCTCCTCGCGGTCCCGCGCGACCGGGTGCCATATCGTGACACGACCCGTCGCGATGCCCCGCGCGTGCCAGGCCGCACGGGCCGTGGGCAGGTCGGACATTAATCCCAGTGAGAACGTGCCGGATTCAGGTCGATATGCGTCGATTTTGATCGTATATAGTCGGGCAACCCGAAATCACACGAACACTTGCCATATTTACGACCGTTTTCGTAATGAGTCGTATAGCGCCGTGCAAACCCCCAATATAATACTAATCCTGTCGATTTGGGTCGATGGGGATTGTCAGCAATTGATTGTGCTCGAGAAATTTTGGGCTGGGTAGTTTCAGGTCGTCTTGATGCAGAGCACGCCATTGATTGATATTTGGGGAATATCTGTATTCATTCGTATAGACTCGTATGACTATGTGATACAATATAGCTACAATTGGGCACGGTTGCGGTCAGGTCTCGCTATACGTACCGAGCGTAAGTGCACTATTTCGCTGATGCGCTGGTAGAGGGGTACAGACAATGGGACAATTCTTTAAGCATCAGGGGAGGAGTCGAGAGCTAGAGAAGGACAGTATGAGAATGTTGCACAGCACATGTATGCAATCGTAAGATACATTACTGTTTGTCCCCTCAAGCGACTGCGTGTGCCAGGTCGAACGTGAGAGGATGCGCTGGGAAGGTGAGTGCCGCCTCCATACCAGTAGCAACTTGGGTAACCACATACCTCCAAGAATGTTCGACATACATAACATAACATTACTCACCTAGGGTGGTGTTGCGACGGCAACACCATGCACCACAACTCACCTTCTGCTCATAGTCTAGACCACAAGACACACCTTCATAACTCTCTCCAACCCCAACGTACCTTCGTGACACCATTGCACAGTGTCTGCGCTGCATTTTCACCAAGATAGAACCGGCTGTTGGTCGAGCAGAAAGAAGAAAGGTTGCAGAATAGGCAGAGGACGGCGGTAGTCAGTGCAAGCAGCAACTCCACCACAATGACGTCACCATGTTTAGGGCAGGTTCCTACTGCCAGAGAACAGAGACTTCGTGTCTCCGGACCTTGCAGTACTTAAAACAATCACAGTAGAGATGTTTGGGAGGAGGTGGCATCCTTGAGATGGTCCCATAGTGGGTGAAACCATGGGAGAGGGCTGCGGATGCCTGGCTCAATTGTCTGATGGGAGCAGGCACTGAGAGGAGGCAGAAGCCTTACACGGCAGAGAGAGGTCGGACTCGCGCGCAATACTAGAGACAGACACAAGCTAGGCTAAGGCCTTACAGGGCCACAAGCTAAGGCATTACGTAGCTACAGCTAGCTAGAGAGATACTAGCATGCATAGACATCATGCCCTTAGAGATATGTACGTCCGATCTCGCGACCATATGGCTAACACAGACGTCAAATGGGCGCTAAAAACCGCCCATCCGACCTGAATCGACATAGCACGAGTATGTACAGCCAAATACAATCTTACACGCCCCAAATCGACCTGAATCCGGCACGTTCTCACTGGGCATTAATCGTGAGAATGGAGCGAATCGCGAGCGCGAGCGTTGGGCCGGCGCTGTGTACCCGCCAGGAGGAGCACTCGTTCGCAGGGACGGATCGCGGACCGTGCGGTGCTGGACGCGGGGTACTACGTGGCTGCCGACGAGCACGCCTGCGACGACCGCTAGTGCGGGGGCCTGTCTGTGAGCGTCGATAGGGCACTTGCGATGCGCTGTGGTCTTTGAGCTACGTGTGTCTGTCGGGACCCCGAGCCTGAGCTCATCCTCGACGTCGACGTGCTCGTCGTTGACAGCTTCCACGTCGATGGCAGTTACGACATTCCGAGCGGGGTGTGTGCCAGTGTCCGATAGGGCCTGTTGATCGCTTGACAATTGTCAGTCGTAGATATAGTGACGCTGAAGACGATGAGAGAGACAGCAAAGACGAAGCTCGATGGTGCATTCTTGTTTTCTCGTGTCAAACGCTGATTTTGAATACAGACGTCGAATACGGTCCCTTCCTCTTCTGGCGCGCGACGTCACGTCACTTCATTAAGGCGGCTCATAGACGCCCATGACCTGTGCCCTGGGACCATCGAGATCCAGTTGTTGGTCCATTTCTCGAGGACGCCAGGCCTCTCGCATTTTTGCTTTACCTCATCCTCATTAGCTCACGGTCAGCCTAAAGACGCGAGCATGTTCACCTTCGCGACCCAACACAGGAAGCAGTGGGAGGACGGGAGAGGCCGTCGTCGCTGTCGCGGGATGCGGTTATCTGCATGACAGGAACGGCGCAATATGCGATCGAATTCGTTCTGCCTCACGCAAGGCAATCTGACAGACTCGGAGCACCCCTGCTGTGCTCGGATCTCTGCTCCCGCGCCGCCCGCGGCACGATGCCCGGTGACGTCTCTCGCCCGCTCTCCCTCTACGGCCCCGATCCCATGGCTCTCGCTCCTTCCACTTTACTCTTTGCTTCTCCTCGTATCTGTTCTTTGGTCAAACCTAGACATGTCAACAGCTCTTAGCTTGCTGTACGCCCTCCGGAAACCCAAGATACTCTTCCGCTCACACGACAGGTCATCATATCATGTTACCGACATACCCAACCTCTCGGGAAAGGTAGAGTCTTTCCAATAGCATGCCCAGTGAAGTGAGCTCTGAGGTGCCGTATTTTTGTCAGGTCGCCTTGATCACAGGCGGGACGCAGGGAAAGGGGTTGGAGATCGCAAAGGTATTCGCCTCCGCCGAAGCACGCGTACTCATACTGGCGCGCGACGAAGATAAACCAGATGTTGCGCTCCTCCAGGTCAAGCAGCATTGTAGGGCACAGCAGATTTTTTCCCCGGATGTGAATCTTATCCAGTGCAATCTGGCTAATTTGGCGGATGTAAGGCGGGTCGGCGATATAGTGTCCGAGCAGGAGAGCCGTATAGACATCGTACGCCGGTCATTCCCGGATTGCCTTGCACCTCGCCTAACCTCCATGTAGGTGGTATGTGATGCCGGCATCGGCCTGCAAACTTTCGACGTCTCTGAAGACGGCATGGACCGCCACTTCGCCGTCTCGCATCTGGCCCACTTCCTCCTCATCAACCGCCTCCTCCCACTCCTCCACCGCACAGCGTCGGTACACCCTCACTCAGACTCGGACCCACCATCACCCTCCCGAGCACCGACTCGCCCTCGCATCATTTTCCTCGCGTCGGCCCTCCACTCCGTCGCGCCGCCAGACGCGCACTTCATCTCCAACGCGGAGCTCTCCTCCGAGTCCGGCTCCGCGGACTCCCCCCTCGCGCTCTACGCACGCGCGAAGCTCGCCTCCGTCCTCTTCGTCAAGTCCCTCGCGCGACACCTCGACCAGCACGTGCTCGTGCTCTCAGTGGACCCAGGCGCGATCCACCCGAAGCAGCCCGAGCAGCTCTCCCGAGCCTTCGGCGCCGTCTGGGGCAGCGCGCTCAGAGTGCTCACATCGCCGTTCGAGCGCTCGGTGGACGAGGCGTGCCTGGCTGCGCTGTGGGCGGCGACGGCACCCGAGCTCGAGGAGGAGTGGCAGCGGTGGCAGGGCGCGTACGTCTCCGCGGTGGGCGTCGCGGGCGAGGGGAGCGAGATGGCGCGCGACGGGATGCGCGAGGAGCAGCTGTGGAGGATGAGCGCGAGCCTTCTGAGGACGAGTCTGGGCGAGGACGCGTTGCGGCCGTGGTCGGGTTGGTGAACTGGATGAGTCGTGTCTGCGATGTCGCCATTACCCGTAGCTGAACCTCAATGGACAGCTCAGTCCCTCGCTCGCTCGGTCCGCCCATGCGTAACTTCCTGTTCCCGACCTGCCAATCTGCCGTGAAGCTTACACGTATACGCACTTACGTGAGTGATTGCAGTGTGCGCGTCTCCTGGACGTCACCCAGAGCGGCAACTTGCCGTACAGCCGTATCGGAGTGTCGTGGGTTTCTGGAGCTGTCCCACGCGCACTAAACTGCCTACATAACTCGTCCGAACGGTCGTCATGGATCGAGACCTGGACATATTGACAAAAATCCGGAGACAAAGTACGCAGACGAATTTGCGCTCGAAGTTGAGAGTGGGGAAGACGTCACACATGTGCGTGTCCACCGGTACGTGTGTCAGTCAGTTCGGCCTTCGATTGTTTGACCTTGCACAGGCTACGGCGACTTAGAGCCAATGGATGCTCGCCATTACCTTCAGTGAGCCGCCGAAGCCTTCTAGGATGGAACGTTTCCGTAAGATGTTCGCATGCAAAGTCAGATGTCAATGACCGTAATTCGTCTCCGTCGGAAGAGGATAAGTGGGTAAGCACAGAGGAGGCCATGGACTGCACGCCTGTTACAATGCCCCTCCCCAACATCACCCCTCCCGAGTTCCTGCCATTCCCCAGACCGTTTCCTACAGAGGTGGAAGAACTCATGATTGACCTCCTCTCGGACCATCCTCGAGCGCTGTGCGGTTGTTCTCTGACTTGCCGCAGATGGTTCCCGCGCAGCCGCTATCGCCTACTCTGCTCAGTGTCGATCAAATCGAGGGCGGGACTCGCGTCCCTCTGCAAGTTGCTCGACAGCCACCCCCTTTACCGGACGTGGATCTGCTCGGTGGCAGTGACGCCGATCGTCGAAGAGGAGGCGCTGCTGCTCTCCGGAGTCTTCCCCACACCGCTGCTGTCCACCCGGCTACCTAATCTACGCCGGTGGGATATTATACACCGCGCGTCCCGCTCTCGCATCCCCTCCAACGAGCAGAGCCTTTCGTTCCACAAAGCGACCCTCACGCAGCTTCAATGCTATTCTTCGTCTATCGAAGAGCTGCGACTCAGCGCCCTTCGATTCACGTCCGCTGCAGAACTTATGCGCCTCGTCGGATCCTTCCCGTGCCTTCGTTGTTTAGCATGGGACGACATCGGCTTTGACTCGGGGCGCGATCACTTGCACGAGGCGAATAGACTCCTTGCTTATCGGCGACTAGGAGGTCTGACCACGTTGGACGTGAGTCGTACTTTTGGTTCACTGTTCATGAATTCATGTTGTCGTCCCTGATAGGTCAGCATTGGGTTACAAAACGCACCTATCATCAATTTCATCCTCGAAGTCGTGCACTCTACTCTCAGAGCGCTCATCCTTCGTCAGCCGAAGGATGCCGAATGGACATCTGGTGAGCTGGTAACCTCCTGGTGAGGGGGACTGTTCTCTCTTCTTACGTACCTGCTTTCCGCGAACCTTCAGCGCTTCCACCCAGAGTGAATGAGCCATCCCTGCGTCGACTCGGCGCCCTCACCTTGCACATGAATCACAACTCCGACGTCGCGGCAGTCCCATTCGATTGGCTTCCCTTGTTGTCTGAGGCGTTCCGGACGCTCCAAACATTCGACTGCGCTTCCACGTTAACAACGTTCACACTCCACATCCACTTCCGCAGCGAAGCTCCCGGCCCGCGGCCCCGTCTGCGGAAACCATCCCGACTCTCCGGCGTCTCCCGCTCCCTACGTTTCCTCAACGACGGGGAGCGATGCCAGCGGCTGAAGGGTGTCCTCCACGAGCACTCTCATCTGCACCGGTTCGCCGTCAGTGTGCACTTCCCACGCGAACAACGGAGAAGGGCGCTATTGCTGAGGCATCTGAGGGAGGAGGGCTTTTTCGCCCTGCACTGGGTGGGCTTGCTCGGAGTCGACCCGGGGTCGAACGGTATGTGGCAGGATTCGGCATGATGTCGCGGAGCTTGCAGCGCTGACCCCTGACTGTGCGCGCCAGCATGCGTTGCGTCGCATCGAGAGCCCCGGGACGCGGGTGAGTCTTGGACTGTGCAGATCGTACGCGGCTGCGCGGGTGCGAGCGTCGGAAGTTCAGGACCCCCTGCCACGGAAAACGGAGATGAATCCCGATAGTTCTACTAGGCCCCGGGCATCCCTTCACTGTCGATACGAAGAACATGATGCGGATGATCAAGGACCCATCGCAGAAACAGTCGTACAGGTTTGGTCTTATCCTTGAATGTATCTGGATGGCAGGCTTTGAGCGGCGAACATCTCAGGATCCACCCATCGCTTAATGAACGCCGTGTTACTGTACAGAACTTGGCAATGCAGGCGTCTGTCGCATGGCCCACCGTATGGCTGCAATGAGGCTGCTCAAGGGCGGGCGCACCCAACCGCTTCCACCTCCCACTTCCTCCGCACCACGATGATACCACCGACAAGGCTGTTGCCCATAGAAATTGAGGAAAACATCCTCGACCACCTCTCCGACCATCCTCAAACGCTCGCAATTGTGCTTTGACTTGCCGCAGATGGCTCCGCCGTAGCCGCTTCCACCTTCTTCGCGCCGTTTGCCTCAGGACAAGAGAGGGTATCGCTTCGCTCTGCGGCTTCCTCGACGTCAACCCCCAGTGCCGACAATGGGTCCGCTCAGTCACCATAGCGCCAATCGTCGAAAGACACACCCAGCTGGTCTTGGAGACCTTTCCCGTCCCCTTACTCGCGGCCCGGCCAAACTTGCGCAGATGGGAGATTCGGGGTGCGGAGATGAGCGATCCATCGCGTCGACGCGCTTTGTTCTTCCACAAGGCTGCTCTGGCTCGGCTGAGGTACTGGCCGATCGAAGAGCTGCATCTTCGCTCTGTCAGGGTGACGCCTATCGCCGAACTCATACGGCTGGTCGGCTCCTTTCCTCGCCTACGCCATCTAGGATGGTACGATGCCTACTTTGATGTGGTGCAGCATCAGATATATGAGGAACACAAACTCCCTACTTACCCTCGCCTATGTGCTCACATAACAACGCTGGATGTAAGTCATTCGAATTTTATAACGCGGTAGCGAACAGACCAGGGCATACGCTCAACTGCTGTCGACAGCTCGACTTCAGAGACCGAGATGTACCCGTCATAGGGCTCGTCCTGCAGATAGTTCATCCCACTCTACAGGAACTTACTCTCCGACAAGCAAGGGGCGGTGTATGGGAGCACCTGAACGAAGGTGCGATATGTGTGCCGTGACTAACACGAGCAAGTTTGGGATATCTGCTCATTTGGAAACCATTCATCAGGTCTTGCCATCCTCGCGAATATGCGGCCGCTGTCCAGTCGCGCGAGTTGACACTGCATACCCGCGGCTCCTTCGACCAGTCGATTAGGGGCCTTCCAGGACACCAGACCTACTGGGGTGCACCTCCGGCCTGCATGCCTTTACACTCGGCGTCCACATTCACACAAGCTGTCATCTATCTAGCTGTCCTCATGGGGATATCGCCTTTGCCCTGGAGCTTGCTGGAGTTGCAGGCAGAGGAGTATACGAGCAGCTGGAGGAACTTCTTCTAAAACATCCACAACTGGCGCGATTCACTGTCACTCTGCATCGTCCCCGCCACGGGGAGACTCGGGAGGCGTTGTTGAGATTGTTCAAAGAGCGATGATTTTGGAGACTGTATCGAAGGGGTTTGCTCAGAGTTGAATCTCCCTCAGGTGCGTCAGCTTCGTTTCGACCTTCAGCCTGCGGCATACCGCGTTAGGAAACTGACTAGGAGATCATTACAATTCATAGGGTTCGACATCCAGCCGTTAGTGCCTCATGGAGGTGGCCCAGTAATCGCCCTTGGCGCGTCCACCGATGGCAATTGGGTGATCAGCAAATCCTCGACTGTTAAAGTCGTGTGGCACGCCATGAGGCGCACCGTCATGCACGAATGGCTCGAACTGCCTTGGTCGACGACCCATCCGCAACATGCATTCCGGTTTACATTTTCAGCCAGCAGCGACCACCTCATCTGCTCCTCTGGGCGAAATTACTGGTGGGTTCGGTCGCCATCCTACCCTCGACTGCCGATGGACATCTGACGGCAGGCGTCTCATATCCGTGCACCTCGACCACACAGGGCACTCTATCATGAGGTCCGGGACGCACAGACGTTCGAGGTATTGCAGTTCCGGGCAGAGCGTAGAGTCGGGCCATGCGTTGCTTGCGGGACGTTCGCTGGATATGCACCACGCGGTCGATTTCACGCCCTGCACGCGGGACTTTGGTCCCCCTTGCGTTGCGGAGGCGCGGGGCCACACGCTCGCAGGATACGACGGCAACTCGCCCTACATGCCCAAAGTCAACGTAGCAACCCCAGAAGACCCTTGGACTGACAGGTTGCAGCTTCTACTTCAGTCCGTGACTCTAAGTGCTTTGGATGACTCGAGTAGACTGCAGGCCTCGAAGTTGCAATGCGACCTCGCTTCGGGCGAACACTCGAGGTTACGACTGCATAAGGTCGCAGATTGGCCGTTGATTACCTGTGTTCGGTTTGCTTGGGACCGTAGAGATCTCCCCACATGTATGGGGTTTTCACCGGACGGGCGGACACTCTGGTGGGGAACGAGAGGAGGGATGGTGCATTCTCGTACGCTATGTTGGCATGCATCGAACGGAATGGACGTTACTGTCGTATTTATCTCCATCCTTGTTAGCCGGTGGCGTACAGGCAGGGAAGGTGCATGCATGATGCTCATCCTCTGACTGTATATGGACCGTCAGATAGATCGCAAGATTCTGCTTCTCTCGTGCAGCTCCGAATATTAATGTGGATGTGCGAAGCAAAGCTTGAATTTTGGGGCTACTGCAGTAGAGCGCGAAGAGAACACACATCCCGCTGAGCGTACATACAATCATCGTCCCCCAAAATGTGAATGTGGCCTGCTGACCAGCAGTGCGCCCGTGCACTTTTCTCGTGAAGGAAATAAGGTACGCCGTATAGATCGTCATGAAGAGAAGGCATGAACGGCTCATGAGACGACGGTCCACACACGGACGAGGTCGTCAGTGAAGCCACCGAACAGCGTCTGGCCGTCAGCAGACCAGGCGATAGAGACACACTCAGGCTCGCGTGCATTAGGGCTCTGAGCGAAGTCCGGCTTTAGATCATCGACGATGGATCTAGTACAAACGATGTGCCATCAGTAGAAGTAGAGTGACAACGAAGTTGGTAGCACGTACTTGCTCTCAAGATCGAAGATCTTGATGCAGGACGCGGTCGCCGCGCAGAGCCAGTAGCGGTTGGGAGAGAACACAAGGGCGTTGACAACGTCGCCAGCCTCAAGGGAGTAGAGGTGCTTGCCCTCGTTAAGGTCCCACAGCATGGTGATGCCGTCCTTGCCGCCGGACGCAGCGAGGGAACCGTCAGGCGAGACAGAGACGGTGTTGATGTAGCCGGTATGACCGTAGTGGTTGGTCTTGAGCTTGAACTTCGAAAGCTCCCAGACCTATCGAGAGAAAATCAGTAGGGGGAAACTCTGTGTAGACATGCACACAGTGCGGATGCATGTGGGGGAGGCAAGCGGATATACATACCTTTACGACCTTGTCCCATCCGCAAGAGACAATGACGGGATTCAAGACATTGGGGCTGAAGCGCACACACGATACCCTAGCAGAGGCACGTTCATGGACCGCTCCTGACCGCGTTACGGAAATGCAGCACTCACCACTCGGTGTGGCCGTCATCCTTGATGTCGTACTTGCACTCACCGAGGGTGTTCCACAGCTTGATTGTCCTGTCGCGCGAACCAGAGACAATCTGACGGTTGTCGGCAGAGAAGCTGACGGAGAGGACATCGGAGGTATGGCCGACGAAGCGACGGGTAGTATTGCCAGTGTTCAGATCCCACAGACGGAGCGTGTGATCCCACGACGAGGAGAGAGCGAATTGGCCGTCGGAGGAGATGACAACGTCGGAGACGAAGTGGTTGTGGCCGTGGAGGATGCGTTTCGGGTAACCGTATTGATCCTCGTCACGGGTGAGCTGCCAGACGATGATGGTCTTGTCTACAGAAGCACGTCAGACCTTGCCCCACAGTCGTACCTCGCGCTTCGCGCTGCCTGCTGAGAATGCGAACTCGAAGAGATAGACATACCACGAGACGCGGTGAGGATCATGTCAGGGTTTTCTGAGGAGGTGGCAATGGCAGTGATCCAGCCCTTGTGGCCGGCCATCGAGCCGAGGTAGCGAAGGGATTCCATGGTGCTAGGCGAGTGCTGGTTCACGTCGTCGTCGGCGTTGGTGTCGAGCTCGTCCCTACTTTGTGTACTTGCCTTCTCGAGACGCGGGATGCGCGCCAGGAGCGAGTGACAGCCACCGTGACTGGTACTGTATAGCTTCGGCAACGCCCGCATATAAAGGGATCCACAGATCATCCTGTCAATGCATCTCTCGATGTCTTGTGCTCGCCGGTCTATCTAAGACTATAGCATCTATGATCTTCTGTCAATTCACTGGGACATTACTCAATGCTGCATTCTAGGCGAGCTTAATCTACCGTACCTCAACGCACTATAAGACCATATGCGTCAGTCGGACGCGTCTGACGCGTCAGAGACGCGCGTCGTTCTAGGCAATGCAGACAATGGGCCCAAAATCGGTGTCCGAAACCTGGTGAGTATCTGTCCCATCCATATAGCTACTCGCTTTCCATCTCCGGTATGATGCCATATCTATATATTTGCTACTTCAGAGGGCTCTGGCCCAATGAGACTACATATTCCACCAAGATCTCTGACCCACCTCTTCATTTGTGTGCTTCGTAATCGACGTGCTCATCATGTTTCTTCCTCCTAGGTTCCGCCTTCGGCCGATAGCTCGTCTCATTGAAATGCGATTCAACTAATGTATTTGCCTCGTTTGAGATCAAGTGTGTCGCCTAACGACCATGGGATGTCTAGAACGGGGTAAGTTGTCATGTTCGCGACGATCATCAGTAGTAGAGTCTTCATTCCATGTAATGTAGTGCTATGCTTTCGAATTTAAGACACCGAACCATTGCTTGGCCAATATTTATTGCGAAGATCTCTGCACGATTAGACGCTGGTCGGTTTGTCTGATCACCACGTGTGCCTGTACCCATACTGTACCGTGATAAGGAGGCAAAGGATACGTATCGCGTCTGTTGGTGAGCAACAACTACGGACAGTTCCTGTATAACCTGCGACATTTCCATCATGTCAACGGCGAAGATACCTGTCATCAGTACGTGCCCTAACACTTTCATGAAACACGTTGCATTTTCCAACGTAAGTTGACGTCCGTAAACTGCAGTTGATACTGACCCGGGGGTCGATGATATCTTGGCACTGTGCGTGATACCCCTTCCTCACATTGTCTCAACGTGACCTACTTCGCTGCAGACTGCTGGCTTTGGCTAGTCCTGAAATAGAGGTCCTAGCCATCATCATCTCCTTCGGTGAGTGGTCCGATGCAAATCAATATGGGTTATTCAAGCGCTACATCAGGAAACACCGATGCGGAGGCGTCCTAGTAGGTGGACAATGCCTTCTCACGGGCGAGGTGTCTGAACGCAATCATCAGCGTCAATGTGCTCAAGACATACCAAGCCATCCACCGACAATTGGAGCAGTTTCCGCAAGATGCGTACCGTTACGTCAACTTCTCCCAAGAGCGGAAGACAATATTAGCAGTGGGAGAAGATGGTCCGCTAGAAGGGGCGTTGCATAGCGCCAAATACTTCCACGGAAGGTGTCTATTCATCGTTGTGATGTTTTCATGTCCGTGCCTTGCGGTTGCTTATTCGTCTCTCGATCACCAGAGACGGTTTGGGTGGCATCACGCAGAGTCATCCCGATCTCAATGTCGATGATAACCACCCATCACAGCACCCTCAGCTGGAACTGAGCAGCAAGTCTGGCGTCGAGGTTGCGCTCAATCTGATTAAATCGGAACCCGAGCGCACAATATCATACATCGCTCTTGGCCCCCTTACCAACCTCGCGAAGATACTGCGCCTCGATCGAGAAGCCGTACGTGACCGCATTGGTCGCGTCGTCTGTATGGGTGGGGCGTTGGATGTCCCTGGGAATCACAATCCCGTGTCGGAGTGTACGCAGTCTTGTTTCTATATTCATGGCGTTTCCAGCTCCTCACTACGTGCGCAGTCAATGTCTTTGCGGACCCATTCGCTGTCAAGGAGCTCCTCACGCCAGATGACCTCGAGCAGGGCCTGCCATTGAATCGGTTCCTCTTACTCCCCCTCGACATAACGACCCCGCACGAGATCAGGTTTCCCTACTACAAAGAGATGGTCGACCCAGCGTTCGAGTCAACTGCTTTTCCGTCGCAGCCAGAAGGGAAGCCGCCCATCGTGCATTTCACGAGCTCTTTTTTCGAACGCACGCGAGAAGTGATGAGACAATTTGGCAAAGACGCTATGGAGCTGCACGATATCGCCGCAGTATGGTGTGCTATCGAGAATCCCCCTGTCAGAGACGAAGACCCAGATCCGGCAGCACTGCCCGTGCTGCAACAAGGATGGAAGGCCATGCGCAGGAAATTCGGCGTCGAACGGTACGTGTTCCAGAACGTAGTTGCGACTGATACACGTGGTGGGCCAAGCGAGCTAACCAGACTGTTCGACTGTCTATCATCCACTCGGTCCCTCTCAATCCCAACATACTTCGGAACCTTGCGCAACGTTGCATTGGCCGCAACCCCTTGAACCTTCGCTTCGACACCTTCATTCCCAAACGGCCTACGCACGCCTCCCAACACATCGTCTCGAGTGGATAGATTAGGAGAACTGACGCGCGGCATGTTCGTTATCGACCGGCGAGAGGACCCCAGCGCCTACGCCCCAGGCGCGAACCGGGCGAAGGTACAAGCAGAGCTCGACCGGCTCAATTTCCAGCACTCCGGCGTGTATGAGTCCACTGCGGTCCCGGCGGAGGTCGAGGTCGAAACTCCCCCGGTTTTCAAGGACAGGAGTCATGTACACGCGCAGGTGTCCACCGGCGCGACCGCGACCGATACGCTAGATCGTCCATCAGACGGACAGATGAATGGAGTTGCGGGAGGGGTTCCTTGCATTACGAGAACGCCAGGCTCTGCGGCGCTGGTCAAGCTCCTTCTCGAACGGGTCTGGGGAGTCAGGTCGTAATCAGGGTGCAGGCGAGGGAATTGGGCCGCTTCTTCCCGTGCCGACGAGATCGGAGGAATTCGTGTGCTTAAGGGTGCTTTTGTATCAGATTGTGTACTCGTATCTGGTAGAATACTAACGCTGATAGTGCACGGGCGGGCAGTGCTCGGGTGCAAGGTGACAGCTAGCCAGGTGCGAAGTTCAAACTCAGGAGTATTCGAGCGTTGCGCTGCAGAAGCGTACAGTGTATCGCTCCATTCGAGACACGTGGAAGATTCCATATCCGAGAGAATCGTACATTGGGCGCGCAGTAGTAATACAATGGATCAGTGACAAGGACATGTCCCGACGGGTCGTGCTAAAGTGGTGAACGGTACGTGTATACCTATGCGTGACAAGGACAAGGGAAGCGCATATACGCCGGGGCACAGGAGGAATGCCAAAGACTCCAGGAAGTTTTGGGGCGGTACTATACGACTTCGACAAACTCCTGAGTCCCCTTCTTGTCGGTGACGGAATCCGACTCCCTGTTACCACCTGCAGGAGATGGACTGTGGTCGAGCTCCGCCCGCTTCTCCGCAATCTCGTCGACAGTGCGGAATCGGAAGCCTCCAGTGCGTGCTTGCGAGATGACCATGCCGCTGCCGAACGGAGGTTCAACGTAAGCCCCAAGTCACAGAGAACACCCGGCCCCGAAGCCGGAGAATAATTCGACACGTACACTGCATACATGCCCATAATCGTGTACCCCGAGAACGGGATGACGTACGATTGTGCGGTGGAGATGTGGTCGGCGATTGCACCGGCCATTGGGGGCCACCAGGCACCTCCTCCGACACCCTGATGGGCACGAGGCATGGTCAGCGATGGAAGACAATGGGGAAAAGCACCGACGTGACGCTGCACGTACCATGACAATCAGAGCGGAGCCACGCTTCGTGTGTCTGCCTAGGTTCTTCGTGCCGAGGGTGAAGATAACCTAATACGCCACGCACAGCCCATGTCAGTACCACGTCTGGGACATAGCATTCCATGTAGGAGACGCACTGGGTAACAGATGGACTCGAAGAAGAACAGTGAGAAGAGACAGCCCACGCCGGCCTTCCCGGGACCGTAGGTCACTCCCAGGGCGAACGTCATGCATGCAATCGAGTAGATGGTCAGCATCAGCGCGGGATCCACCCAGTTGAGGAGCACGACTCCGACGAATCTGTGGACATGCATTCATGCGCCGTTAGGCTCGAGACCGTGCAACGATGATTTCTCAAGATAAACTGACCGGCCGACAGTGAATGTGATCTGGCAGTACGAGAAGAGCTGGCTCGCCTGCGACTTGTCAATACCGATGCCTTGTTCCGTGATGTAGTTGACGGCGAGGGCTGCGACAGCCACCTGGGCGCCGACGTATGCGGTCTGCGCGACTAGTCCGAAGAGACAATGATACTGTTTGAGGAACGGTTGTTCATCGGCCAGGATGCCCGCTTCGTGCATCTCCTGAGCCAAGGCATCTCCCGTGATCTCAGGCAGTGGGCAGAAGCTGTCGCGATGGCAATGCGTGAATGGGTACAGGTTCACTTCAGAAGGGAAGAGACACTCACTAGAACAGGATATTGAGGACAGCGCCGAGACCCGCAACCGCAAGATACACCCTTGATGAGACAAAGGCTGAGGACCGTGGGCGCTCGAATCGGTATACAATAAACCAGGCTTACCACTGGACGGTGTCGAGGGTCGTGGCATTCTTCCCAAGGAAAAACCAGCGAGAAGCAATCATGGGGCCGGCGAACGAAGCGACGCCTTGGAAACCTTGGCTGAAGTTTAGCCGTGCCGCAGCGTACTTGGGGCTCCCCAAGATGGAGATGTACGAATTTGCCGCAACCTCGAGGCATGATAGACCGCAACCTGGTCATCCTATTAGCCTCGTCCTCGTAGCGAGAGTTTGGGCCGCTCTCTCACCGATGACGAACGTGCAGCCGACAAACCCTCCGTATTTGGCGAACTTTGCCGATGGCCAAAAGAAGATGGCGCCTGCGGTCCGAGGTCCCATAGTTAGCTATATGGCGCCGCGGTGACAGAGGGACGGCATACCGAGCGAATATAGGGAAAGACCCAGGTGGATTCCTCTCTGATGACAATGACGTCGGCTACTGTCTGGACGCCGGTAGAGCTGCTGATTTTGCGGACGATTTGCTTACCTTGTACCCATACCTCTCCATCTTCACACGGCTGTCAGTACGGTGCGACAGCCCCAGACAAAGCCATGGCACTCACGAAAAGGCTAGCGAAGGGCGAGAAGACGAGATACGCGCCCTGCGGTCACACGGGAACGGACACCGTCGTCGGTCAGATGAACAGGAAAATTGCAAGAGAGACGCACGAAGTACGCCAGTTGGAGGAGCGTGCTCTGTGTCTTGTCGATTCCGAAGACGGTTTGGAAGTGCGAGTTCAAGACATCGAGAAGCTGAAGTGCCAGTATGAGCCCGATGAGTATGATGTCTGGTGCCAAGAGAAGGAGAAGGATGTACACCGTATGCAAAGCCCCAGGTGAAGAACAACGATGTCACCAACGCAAACGCGTACACCCATTGCTTACGGGTGAGGTCGCTCCCTACATGAATCACACCTCAGTCAATTTGTTCAGGCTACAATCAGGCCGGACGAACCAGTTACTCCTACGGGTGGTGCCATCGCAGCGTGGCGGATGGTGAGGGAGACAAAGGGAGGTGGTGGCAGCACGATAAGGCAAATTCGCGAAAGTTGATCTATATACCAGCAGCGGAGTGCGGGGCCCCAGGAGTCTACGCATTTGATGGGAAAGAGGGATGAGCTAGCCTGACCCCGCGTGATCTCATATGCTTGCTGCTGACGGGCCGGCTGGATCAGCGCACGCTCAAAGTCCCCAGAAGTTTGGGGTTGCGTCGATCACAGAGCTCACAATGAGCTAAACGTGCGACCGTGGGGAGGAGCAACTCAAAGTTCAGTTCGGCACGACGTGTCCTCGGCTGCATGCAGGGCGAACTGGTGAAGCAACGTTGGTGTCCTGTTTTTTCGACCGAACAGAGAGAAAACCTACCGCAACCACATGGGAGTATTTTCGGAGCATGCCGTCGGTTGCAACAACGCGGGGGACATTGCTACGGTCACGATGCCCTTGCAGAGGCGGCAGCCAGCGGTAGGTAAACACTGTGGATACCTAATCCGGTGGAGGATGTGGGCGCATGACCCTGACCGTTGCCAGCGCCAATGCTGACGCCAAGTGCCACAAAATCAATTTGCCGCCAACCTCTCCTCATACAGCACCCCGATCACTTCTGCTTGCCCTCTTCTTCGCACTTGTTGTACATCTGTGCAGCACCAACAGTCACATGGAGCCATCCAAGACGGAAGAAAATGAACCTAGCCTCGCACCTTTCCTAGTGGTCAGCAGCCACAAGCCCTGTGTTGTCGCCAAAGCGGTCCGGCGCGCTGATCGCGTCCGTCCACGCGCAGGAACATTATGGGGCTACCAAGGCGCGCTATCCAGGCGAGGGCAGACGCAGGTGGCGGCTCAGGGTGGCAGAAGCGTTCTGGACCCTCTCACCTGAACACAAGACGTCATATCTTGCATCGGTGAGCCGCCGCTTCTCCGTCCCATCCAGTCTCAAAAACGAGCTTTGGTTTACACGCGTCATCTCGTGCAGATCAGTCAAAGTCCTCTTTCTGCAGAAAGCGTGGAAGACGCTGATTTTGCCACGGACGACGATCCGCTAGACGACATATCCGACAACACACCCGGGCTCGGAATCCTTCTGCGCACAGACTACACGAACGAAGGTGCCTGGCAGGCCTTCTACGCTCGGCTGCAAGACGCCGAAGCTGAATTCGCATCTGAGCCTCCGGCGGACCTCCCCGACGAGAACACGACAGGCGCAAGCGAAGGCCCATCCGCCGCCCACGGCGCAGCATCATCCTCGACCGATGCTGAAGGAGACTCGGCGATGGATGACGAAGACGCAGACGGCGAGGAAGGCGACGGCGGCGAAGGGGCGGCGAGCCCGGTTTTCTTCGTAGTCAATGCGACATCCCCAGACGAACGCGCCAGGCTGACGGGCATCTCGAATCTGACCGCGCTTCGTCTCCTCAACGACGTGGACGTTCGGCGCGCTCCCGCGCCACCCGCAGGTACGAAACGCATCCGGCCGCCGAACCGGCTCGTCGACCACGATGGCTGGCAAGAAGTATACAGCGGGAAGACGGTCTGGGTGTATGACGACAAGTCGAACCAGGACCAATGCGTCCGGCTGGTGAGCCAGAAGGGCGCCGCGATGTACGGCACGGCAACGTCAGTCCTCCTTCTCATCTCCCGCGTCGAACCGGGTTGTTCTGATGACCGTGGAACCCGCGTGCTGAATATACATGTTGCATGTTCGGCCTCGGCGTGCAGCGGCGACAGTTGGCGCGCACGGGTCAGTCACATCTGTGAGCTGCAGGTCAATCTGGCGACAGGCGCGATGACTATCGATTTCGGCGGCTTGGATCGGTGGGACTACGCGGAGAGGGCTCGGAATTTGAAAGAGGCAGTGACCCCGATTTCCTAAAGCCGGTTTGAAAGCAGGGACGTATCCGGGGTTGGAGAAGTCAGGTTGTTGCGGTAACACCACGCTGGGAAGAGTGGGGCATCCTGCCGATGCCTCGAGTCCATAATACATTCGACTAAAAAGTCCCGAACCGTCCTCATCAACATCATCAATGTCGTATCATTCATATGATCCTGACACACGGTCTGAAGGAACGAAAATGACAGCGAAGTGATTTCGAAAGCAAGAAGACAACAATGTCAGGGATGTCATAATCCTGAGACGGATTCCTAATCGTAAAAAACTATGTTATACAGCAGAGATTAGGTGATACATCGTGGCAGACGGGGATATAATAAGGTAACACATCATGGTAGAGAGTACTGTGAACAAGTCCGACGAGATGGGTCATATGCATACAACATATCCTGCAGATGCCGAAGAAAGACGCGAATCAGCTACGCCGTGGAATTCCAAAAGGGCCACAACATACCAGTATAGCTTCGTGGGCGCGAGCGTTAGCACAGAAACTGAGTCATCGTGAGCCGGCCGTATGGGAAGAACCGCTATCTTCCGGGCCCGACGAAGACGACGTTGTGGATCTCACGTCGGACATGCGCTGCGTGAACCGTGCCCGAGACCCGGACCGGCTGTCTTCGTCTTCGTCCATCGACTCATCGTCTTCCTGTACCAGGCCGCGACAGTCCACGTAACCTTCGCAACAGTCCGGATCGCTGGGGGCAGGGAACCGCGCAGCCTGTTGGCCGGGGGCGGGCCCCATGACGGTGGCGGGAAGCGAGCGGTGGGGATACACCGAAGGGAGCGGCTCGCGGTATTGCCGCTCTCGTTCGAGTTCTCGTTCGCGTTCCGCGGAGCGGTGACGGTGGTGCGGTGGCGACAGTGCGAGTGGCGGCAGCTCGATGCGTGGCGAGACGCTGAGTTTGTGCGCGTGCGGCGGCGCAACGGGCGACGGAGTGTACGTCGGGGTGGCAAGGGTGATCGGCGTGCGGTTAACATGGGGCGCAGGGCCCGTGCCGGCAGGGCCTGGGTAGAATGCGAGCTGCTGAAATCGTGTGATAGAGGCAGCCGCGACAGTGAGGTGGTGCATGAGATCTGAGGAGGCTGCGGCCTGGCGGAAGAGAGCGCGCGAGTCAGACACTTGAATGCTTATGCCCCCGGGCACGGGGGGGGGCGACAAACAAGCCCAATAACGTATGCACGTACCACTTCAGGGCCGTATGGAGATTGCGCCTGGAGAGGCGTAGCGGCTTTGAGCTTGGCTTGGAGGGCATCGATCTCCTTGCGAAGGAGGACGTTCTCGTCTTCGGCTTTCTTTACACGAACTTCGAGGTCGGCGACATACTGTGCCTTGCGTGCTCGATAATCTCGCTGCTGGAGAAGGGCACGCGAAGGGGGTATGGTCATGTCCTTTCGGCGTCCACGGGTCATACTCTTGTACTAGTGTTCAGTAGCAGCGGTGGGACGGGGTATTCGCGGGGGATGGGATGGTCGGAGCGGGGGAGGCCAGGGGCTTTGAAGGGGCTGGGCGGAGGCATGGAACTGTATTTGACTTGTGGCGTCAAATAGTCAATGGAAATGTTTGATACCAAGTCCGTGGGCTGTCGTGAGCGCGGTTGAGGTGCTTGTCCTTCGCCATCAGGGTGCATCACTCGCCCGGCCGTGGGCGCCGTTTTTCAGTATCCTCGGACCCATCTCCATTGATTGCTGTGCCAGTTTTTGCCTCCTGATCACCGTCACGGTCCTATTAATCCCCTGTCTTGCGTAACCTTGATTACTCCCCACCATTGCGGCAATCTGGCTCAAGCTCGAATTTGACGAGGCGATCTACACACCCCGGTCTCACGATCCCCTGGCACCGCAGCCCGCTTACGCTGCGCCGCATCTCGCCAAAGATCACGCTGTTACAAGCTACATATCCATCCAGTGCGTGATGAGCGACCTGCGGCCACGCGTCCGGCGTTATGTCTGAGAGACAGGGGCCGGTGCCGCGAGGCGTCGTGGACTCGACCTTCATCTGAAATATCACCGGTGTATTTGATTACGCTGATCCAATTGGACACAACTTCCGTTTGCAATCGGCACATTACCGAGCCAGGGCCTGCGAATGCATACGTCCAAAGAGAACCGCCATTTGAAGACAAGGGGCTGCCCTTATCGCTACATACTATGTAACAGACAATCGCCGGAGGACCGAGTTCCATTCTCGTCGCTAGCGGGGTCGCCGATGCGATCAGTTTCAAGCTTTCCTATGCACCTTCTTTGCGCCCGCGGCGCTCGGCGACAGTCGTGCGATCTCCCCTCCAACGCCGACTAGGACTTCCAACCTCTACCTCCGGTCGGATGCCGGTCTGACACCTGTCTGTGACCGACGCCGGGGGTGTGTGAGTTATATCTCCAGTCCGTGACTCTGCCTACCATTACTCCCTGCTGTGTCTCCTGTCAACCCTATCAGCGGCACAGATGCCTGTCTCCGCGCGAATCGCTGGTTGGCAATCCTCTTCCCAATTCTACTTGTCTGCAATCTGGAGACAGATGAAATGCTGATCCCTGAGTAGACACCTTTCAGACGACCGTCCGTCGAATTTGACCGTCGGGAACCACGATCTGGACGGATTTGTGTCACAGCGCAGATCTTCCGTGGCGCGAAGTTGCGTCTTCTGTACCTCGCTCGTCCAAGCGTCCTCTGACGGTCTGACTCATCCCCAATACACTTAGCCGACAAGAAGCACACGTACGAGCTTGAATATGATCGGTCCTACAGGCCCTGTTTGGATCGGATGCGCGTCTTCGTTCTGACTGCTGACGCGCTCTTACGCGCCGTATTCAAATTACCTCGGGTGCGCCCACTATCAGTACGACAATGGCGCCTCGCTCGCAACTCGCTGCGCCGTCTCGACCGTCCTAGGATGGCTTGGTACAGCACGAATTGTACGGTTGTACCGCTATGGCGGCGAGACAGTGAGTCCGACCTAACCCTATTAATGATTGTACTCGTCAATCGATCCTGATACGCAGCAATTGCACTCGAAGTGGCTGATGTGTCATGCACATATACATCTGCAGGCTGCGGGTGTCTAGCGAATGTTGAATGCACTTTCCTGTTTCCAGAATCGCCCCGTGATTATCCTCCGAGTACTGTGCCGCTCGTCAACCGCAAGCCAATTAATCGTTTCGAGCGGTGGCCTGACACATACTGCTTTGGCTCAAGAGTACTGCCCCCACGTCTAGGTGCGCAGCGCTTTTGTGTATCCTGACTCCGTGCTGCAGATCGCACCCGGACCGAGGGGCATGGCGTCTAGATCCACCACGCCATAAAGTTCTACCATTCATCCGAGAGCTCTCCACAAGGGGGGTGTAGAAGTCGGCTGTCGTAGGGCGTGACAATGCTCGCTGCCCAAAATATCCGGACTAGCATCCCCCGGTCGCCGTCCTATCCCATGCAATTTCAAGCAGTTCCTAGGACCGAGCAAGCACAATTTCAAGTCGCACAGGTCGTACCGTGACAAGCTCGACGTTCCTATACGGCGGCGCCCAAGCGTGTGGCCGCAAGGCGTGTCCTTGAAGGAAGGTCACGGCATGACGCCGCTGTTGCTGATGGTCAGACATCGCCCTTACATACTCGTGGCCATGCGCCGCGTGCCCGCATGCAACCGTCTCGCTACGCTACCGAAATCCAAATTGGAGCCGAAGGAGCTTGAAGGCGGCGCGTCACCAAGATCGATGTCTTCGCGTCCACAGCACCGAGTAAAAACGGCCTGCCGGACCTGCAGCCTCCCACAGCTGTCAACTCGCTTAGCTGGGCGGCCGCTGCTTCTGCGTATTCTGTTTCTTGGCGCTACTGTGCTTGTTGGGTGCACGAACATAGCCAAGATGTCGTTGCGATGATCCGCCGCTGGCAGCAGGTATGTCACCGTTTCCGTCTTCAAGGGCACAAGAAATGTCTCCCGTTCTTGACGCTAGCTCGCAGTTCCACACTATATCGTTCAATCCTCGGCATGAGTTGATTGGCTTCATCTCCTGGTCTACACAAGCATTTTGCGGCATTTCCTAGGCACGTGGACATAGCTTATGTACATCCGCGTGTCACGTTCGCAGCGTGACGTCGTAGCATACATATAATAAGGGATTGCTGACGAACTTGCATAGTTAGCCGTGGGACGTGACCGGTTGACCCACGCATTCGCCGTGAATGTACCACCGTCTAATCTCACACTTTTGGGGACGTAGGTGGCATCTGGGGACCGATCGAAGGACGTTTTGCGGTCCCACGCTGGACCGAGAAGTCGTGGACCGAGGCCACAACTCAGCTTGCCACACATCCGGTGAGCACTCGCGACATTGCCAGTGCTTTTGCATTGTTGATTGTATCAGATCAGACGGAGCCTGAGGTTGCGCAAGCGTTGCACAACTCTGGGTGCTCTTTCGTAGTAGCATCGGCCTGACATTGTGGCCGAAGTTCGCCTCGAATCATCAACGGACAAGTAACATCGCCGCTGAGGCGAGTGATGACTCACCGACCGCCTTCCATCCCAAGCGCTAGAATGCGCAATGGTAGTCAGTATGCATGTCTATCTTCGCTGGCTTGCGGTCCTTGATATGTTTTGTACCGACAGGACCGTATGGACCTGCAGCCGCCTAATCTCCCGATCTGTCTCTCGGCTAGATGGATCGGCGTGGTAAGCGTGCTTTGCTGTACTAACTCAATCCCTCGTTGTTGGAATCCGTTTGATCACGACGTCGCCAGCGCTCGTGTGATCGGAGTGGTGAGATGCCAGCGCCGTTGGACCTGACGGTTCTAGGTAAAAACGCCCTCGCGGATTCGATGACCAGTGAAGATCAATGGAATTGTCTGCGATGAGATCTCGCGGGCCGGCTGCGACCAACTCACCCTCGCTGCGGGTGATGCGCCCACCGCGATGCCACGCCATCGCGAACAGGCCGCACATCCAGTCCGTCATGTCACCTCCATCCTCCGCAGACCGCCACGAGCGGCCACATACATATCCGTAGTCCGCCAAGATCCAGGACTGCAGGACACACAGTACATCAACGCCCCAATGATTCTCAGGAACCCGGCAATGTCAGCAACTGTCGTCCATCCGTCACTGTGCTCCCACCGCGTGGTTCCCACTTCGGTCTCGCTCACCTTGTTTCCAATCCGGCGCTCGTAGCTGTAGCGCACTTTCCTGTGCCGCAGGATTGCAATACGGCTGTGATACTCGACTTTCGGCGTCTCCACAGCAGCTCGAGCGTTGTGCGCTTTGCCGAGGAGGGACGACATATGCGGCATCGACGACACTGACTGGGGGACATATCGACGCGCTGACATCCTATGCGACACGAAGACTGATATTGATGCAGACAGGCGTCCGACAGCCGCGCTTCCGCGCAAGTGGTTCCTGTCCTACTGTGGAAGGTGCGTTCGTTGCTTCGGTGTCTCTGCCCGTTGACTGAGTTTGATGCTCCATTTTGACTGTAGTGCATGCGGTCGGTCGCAGTTGCCGTGGGGATTAGAGGGCTTTCACAGCGATCATCATAGGTCTAGGATCGCCGACCGGCCGGAATATCCCAACATAGGTCTAACCGTCTACCAAGCAGCGCTGTGGTCTAAACGCTGCCTCAAATCCTGTGGTTCTCTGAGGCACCAAGGTGGCCCGTGTAACCGCCGACGGCTGTGTACGGTGCGAATACGCATCCAAGTATGTAACACCGGGGCGTTGAACATGTAGGACAACGTGTCTCATCGTAGAGGCATCATGACCTCGTTGAGACAATCATATTGCCTCTCCGCATCCCACCCTTGTCTCACACCAGCCGAACCCTACACAACGAATGGCATTAGCATATAACATAGTTTGACTAACTTTTCCATACGGCGGGACGACCAACCAGGTAATGATCCTACAGTGACTCTGATCACGGTGGAATTGCGATGGGACACGATGTGCCACAGACGTTGATGCCCCCGGTGTATTAGGCATCCATGGCAAACTGGGCAAAGCCGGTCAGCCCTTTCCGGCGTTCGTCTGCGTCCGCACATTCTCACCAATCATACTCTCGCGTCGGACCAAAGGTGGCAGACGAGCATCGGACACGACGACTTCTGGCATATATCGGCAGCCAACAGTCAGCAGATACATTCGATCGCCATTCAATCACTGTTGGAATCTAGCTGCCTTCAAACATACATACATTCTAGACATAGCTTTCGCCGCAATACGGAGGAGATGCTAGCGCAAAAAAGGTCGCATCTTGTTGACCGACGCCACTTCACCACTATACATCACATAACTCCACGCTCTTGCTGAGCATAAAGCCCCAGGCATATCGCAACAACACCTCTTCTCCTTGCTTTTACCTCTCCACATCTCTATTCCTCTGTTCCTGGGATTGGGATGACCTCTTGCTGACTATAGTCTGTGATAGTAGTGAGACGGCAATGTCTCCTTTACAGGCCTCGCCCAAGTATGCCTCTACACGCATGTTTCGCACAACCGGCCCTGCAAGTCTCTTCTTTCCGACCGCATCAGTCGCCACAACCGCGCCTCATGGCAAGTCATACACGCAAGCTGAGGTCTTAGCCGAGTGCTCTGTTTGCAAGACGTAGTAGTAGGTGCACATCTCTGCGCGCTTAGCGGGGGTGTACTGGTGAGATGATGTCAGGTCGTCTCGCAGCCATTCTTCACATAAGGTGCGTCGTCTCCGTATGTTGCGTGACATACCTTCACTTACTGTAGTAAGATCCGGGCGTACTCGAGTTCTAGTTCCATTCCTGTCACGATTGGGTTTCCCTATTCGGCACCAAGTTCGGCTCGCAGACGTCGAGGCCCATAACTGGTGCAAACGTCAAACCGCTCATTCCTGCTATTATATATACCTGATTTATGTGCTTACCAGGGGTCAGATTGATCGTTGCCCGTTCACTGTGGTCCCCTCACCGAGACGTCAGGATACAGTTGAGAAGCACAGGATACCAAAGACTCAGCGCCATATGGCGCCCTTTTGCACTGCGCGCATGGCAAGCTCTAGCAATTTCGCTGATTTAGATCCCGTCATTTACTAGGGCGTACGTCTATGTCAAAATCGGCACTTACGCAAGAATTCAAGGTCATGTCGCACTTTGCCTCTAGCAATGTCAGAATCCGAAGCAGTCCTAAGCTCGACCTTTCACGCTCGATCGATCGACGCTGACTCCGGCAGCGGCTGTCCCGGATAGTGAAGTGAAGTCGCAGCCAGCCTCCTCAGGTGACGACACAAAGAGGTTCGTGTTCGCCGCAACAGCAGGTCACATAAGGGGAGCCGCGAGCAGCTCATTTTGGACTGCCCGCCGCTCCCATTTTGCTTTCGTTCTACTTGCATAAGCATCACTATCCACCGCAATCGCTGCAGTCCAACGTCGTTCCTTAGCTCACACTCCTTTGACATGGCTTTGCATTCATTGCTCGTTTTCACGCAGCTTGCGATACTCGTCGCTCCCTTACGTGGCGCACCTGTACCTCAACCACCCGTGGGATCCATCGCGGACGTGCCCCGCGTTGCATCGTCGCGACCTAATAACTTAGATCTCATAAGCAATCCTGTACTCAAAGTACGTCTTGTCTGTGCGTCTCAACAATGCTTTTGCTGACCTTGGTGAATTTGTTAACTGCTCTTCTACATCGAAAGCTTGTCAACCCGATGCTCTGCAGTACCCTTGGCCGGCAGGTAAATTTGCCGTCCGTCACAGACCTATCCGGTCCCGATGCCTCGGATCTACAAGGAGTAGTGAACGATATACTTCCAGATTGCGGCCAAGGGGACCAGTCCAAGGACGGTGGTACAACTAGTGGCCAGCCAGGTCGAGGCTCCATCGGCAGTGGCAGAGGCACAGGCGTAGGCGGAGTTGGGAATGGGCCTGCTTCCCCGGGAGGTACCAACGCGAACAACGGTGCGAGCGGGCACGGCCAACCTGGCGCTTACACCGGAACGTCGTTTGGCGGATATGCGCCTTCGGACCAAGGCAATGTCGCTGGCAACTCTTATCCGAGCTCTGGTCTTGGTTTCGGTGCTGAGCCTGGCTTCGAGTCTGGCTATCCCCAGTCGGCTGGTTCGGTGCAAGGCTTCCCCGATGGAGTGCATGGCTACCCGAACGCACCACAAGGCTACCCGACTGCCCAAGGTAGCCTCGGCACCAACACGCCCGCTCCAAGCGGAAACGGAGCCTCTCCGACTGCTGGGTCTGGCGACGGTACTGGGGCAACAACTGGAACCGGCAACTCTGGTTCAACTGGGACTGGAAACTCTGGCACCTCAGCGAACCCTTCCGGCTCTGGCGGTCCTTCAACTCCGGGCGACACAGGCGCAGGAACTACTCCAACGGTGGCTGGACTTGGAGGGAATGGTCGCGGCACAAGTGGCAACGGAGGCGATCCTTCCGGCACCGTTACACAGAATGGCTCTGGTACCACAGGATCGGCTGGCGGCTCTCCTGCCACTCAAGGCAACGGTGCTTCGGGCGATGGAGGTGGAGACGGCGACGACAACGGCTCCTTGTCCGGCACGACTCAGCGAAACGGATCAGATGGGACTGCGAACTCGAGTGGCGATTCGGGTACGAATCAGAGGTGTGACGGTGTGGCATGCACAGTCATCGGTGCCGCCGCCGGCGTAGGGGAACTCCTCGCAGATCCCGAGGTCATGCCGAGCGGGCAGTCGTCCGTCCTTGAGGATCCTTCGACTCTAATGAAGGCGTCGAACTTGTCCGATTGTCCTGAAGGAGACGAAGACGACGCTTGTGTCAAGACGTCGCGATGAAGCACCGGGAGCACGAGCGGTTTCGTCCTTACTTTGGGTCACTGTTCAGTGTCGGTTGTAGGACATCACACGCCTGGACAGCTACGATCCCTGTATCGCATTGGGCCACGAGTTTATATGATTGTATTGCCTGGAAAGCATGCCAGAGTTTGCGCGCGACAGAGGCCGCTGCTATGTTGCCCGAGAGAAGTTTTACGGCGTTGAGCTGGACGGGGATGGTCGTTGTGTTCTGGTATGGATTACCGATGCGGCTTACGGGCGCCTGGAAGTCTACCGCGGGCGCCACCGAGAAAGCACTGCCGCCGCCGCGAGACTGATGTTGTGCAGCTTGTGCTGGCCGCTGCTTTCATCTCCTCCATGTCCTCTTCTCCATCGCGCCGAGCTCTATCCTTTCCGTAAATGAAGAGCGATTTTCTTGACGAGCTCTTCTTTTCTGCTGCATTCCCTCTCCCCTTCCGCGTATTGTGCTTGGCAGGGCTCGGTATTCTCGGTTGGGCAACAAACCTCCATGGGCTTCATCTTTGCAACATCGATGCGGCTGGCGCACTAGACCTCAACAACTATGACGGTTACCGGCTTACCTCTCTGCTGCCAACAGACCGCAGGAACCCCGGGTGGAAGGAAATGCGGCAGTCATCACAGACGTATCGCCCTGTCTACAGAGTGTTCTTCGCGTACTCGGCGTGGGGCTTGTTCTGCTGGCTACTTTTCCGGTACGCCACAATGGGCGACATCGCGAGGGTCGATGAATGGAAGTTCGTTCCTGCTGTAGCGGCGCTGTGCCTCCTGACGGTGCTCGTGTGTCCGTTTCCAATATTTTACAAGCAAGAGCGGGACAAATTCCTTGCGTGAGTGAATGCCATGACTCTACATGTTTCCCCCGCTCGCTCGCGTCGAGTACGATGTCTAGACCACCGGAACGCGCTCGCTTACTCGTGACAACAGTGCCATCCACAGGTGCGCGTTTCCCTCGCCGCATCGAGTCTACTTCTCGGATGTGGTGTTCGCCTTGATTCGGCAGTGCAATGGAGAACGACGTCGCAGGCATGGGGTTGGGAGAGCCGGAGGCGTCAAGGTGACATTGTTGTACGCATTATATGCAGCGATGAAGTCCGACCCGCTCACAGTGGCAGCGGGAATGCCCGAGCCAAACGTGCCAGTCGGGTTCTCCACTCCTCCTAGTCCGTAGACGGTCACTGCACGGACATTCTGCCCTAGAATGGATGATGATAGCAAAAGAACACTAGGGGTAGAAAATTACGCATGTGTGGCCCGCGCTGGAGAAGAAG